TAGGGAAACCTTGTTCTGACAGGTGGATGTACATGCCAAAAACATTCTCCTTTGAATGTGTTCATTTTACAGTGGCACTTTAGTATAGTTTATCTAATTTTTTTAAGCCCAACACCTACAGTTATCTAAACAAAGATGTGCTTTAGAGGGTCAGGCAAAAGCACTATTTTAGAAAACTAGATTCTTTCTATACAAACTAATAGGGGCCTACAAAGTCAAAAATATCTTGGTTTATGTTGGTGTTGTGTGATTTGATTGAGTCTCATTAACTGTAATAATTTTTTATGTAATAGTTTCCCAAGGTAGTCAGGATTATGTTTTAATTTTTTTGTATTGTTCCTTGTACATAAGGAAACAGAAGCATAACTTTTGCATAGTTACTGTGTTGCAATAATTAGAAATATTTTTTCTTTTTTTTAGATGCTTAAAGTTATTACTCCTTTGATTTTTTCTCTTAGGATTCTTTTAGGAATAGATGCATACGCCTTTTTTTTTCTTTCACTTTCAGAAAACTATTTCAGTCTTGAGTAATGTCCTGTGGTTTAACTTCCCAGAAACTTTCCCAGGAAGAAATAGTTCCCATGTACTCTCATTTGAGTAGATGTCTGTACAACAAAGCAGTGTGTTTCCCTGTTGGGGCAACCAGACAAGGTTCATCTGAAGCCACATTGGAAGAGAAAAACTGACACACAGTCAGTTTCCTGATGGGATTGTCTGTATTGGCATCCTGGTACTTGTGCCAGAGCAGCATGGGAGTGGATGAATGCATAGGGATAGGGGGCTGTAGCTTGGTTCGACTTTGTACTGCCTAACATGAGCTTGCAGTGTGCAAAGCTTCAGGGTTTGGTGTGGCAGCACAATTAGGAATGTAAGAACCATTATGCTGAGGGCTGATGTTTGGGAATAAGAGTTACAAGTAAAAGGCAAACATCCAGAGAGCTTTCTAAGTGGTGTCCCAGTCTCCAGCACTTTGTTGCTTAGGGACTTCGTGAGCCAGTGGAGTTTTATATTTAATGCTGTTTAATTTTTTACTCCATGAAGTTTCTATGCATACTTTAGATATCTACCAATGTCTTACTAAGTCAATCTTGTGTCCACTGCTGCTGAAAAAGAAGTCTCGCAGATGCTGTCGTATCTCCTGCATCTGTTCTGGTGCTTGTCTGCCCTGTTCTGGCATGTTTCATGTGCCCCTTTTTCTCTCCTGCCTTAACTAATCGAATGAAGAAAAGAGAGGTGAGTGGGGAGGTGGAAGAGGGAGAAGGTGGAGGCAACTTGGGGCCAAAGGAGTTGGGACTGATCGTTCTTGGCTGGCAGCAGGCAGACAGAATGGCTTTGTTGTGACATCCAGCTCTCCCTCACAGCTCTGGCAGACAAGCAGTGCTCTTCAGTGTCACAAGTGTGTGTCCAAACAGTATTTTACAGCGTCAACGTGTATTAAATGAAGCCATTAAATGCTGTAATATTTTTGCTTTTGCTTGGTTGCTCATTTAAAAACAGAATTAAGCTTCCATAAACCTGTCTTGCCCCTTCTGGGCCCAAAAGAAAAAAGTTTTTCCCCCTTTTTTTTTTTTCAGTCATTATTTAAAAACTGTCCCTCCTGGTTTTGTTTGCAACATTCAACCTCTGCATTGTTCTGCTCCTTCTTTTGTCTCTCTTCTCCTGTACTGGCTTTCTCCTTTCTCTAAATTGCCTCTTCTAATGACTCAGTTCTTGTACTTGGATGGCATGAGGTTCTCTGCTTTCAAGAAGGTTTTTAAGTGAGTAGCAAAAAGAACCAAAGAAGGTACTAAGAATTTGAGAAGTGTAGAAGTGTATGTGTGTGTGGAGGAGGGGCAAAAAGAAAAGGCATGACAATTCTAACTTTACTTTTACTTCTAAGTTTTTTTTCTTTAATATGATACTTTTGGAGCAACCATTGAAAATGCTAGGAGGCACTGGGTTGACAGTGCTGAGAGAGAGTGAGATATCTATTAATTTATAATAGAGAATGAGAAAAACCACATGAGGAAGCAATTCTATGCTCACTTTTACTCTTGCAAGTTATTGTACCCTTGGAGATTGTCTTGCTAGGTGCAGTTAGACTCTAGGTAGCTGAAGTTACTACTGTGTTTACAGCACCAAACCTTAGAATATTTTTTGATTGTTGTTGGAATTTAGAAGAAGGAAGCAAATTTCACAAAAAAGTCATCAGGACAGGGGATTCAGAGAAACTTGTACTGAGCCCGAACTACTAATCACTTTATTCTACTTGTGGGTTTTTTTGTGAAGGTACCTTCCTTTTTTTTGTTTTCAGTCCTAGACACCCACAGTCAGCCACATATATCTACCTTCTTGTGCTGCCAGACCTCAGTGATGTGTGCAGGAGGGGGGAGATATAGGGGTGCTTGATGCCAACTCAGCATCATGTCCATGGGGATGGCTGATTCTTAGCTTCTTGTGACAGAAACATCTGCAACAAGCTGCAAGGGAACTAGGACCTGTGCTGCCTACTTGGGTTTCTGTAGAGTTGGAAACGGCATAGCCCCAACAGGACGGAGCTTTGTCCACACCAGTGTTCCCTAATAAAAGGCAGGGCTGGTATTATGATCCTGAGGCAGGGTGACTGTGATGGTTGTGCTGTGGATGCTCATGCTTTTCCCGCTTCATGCTGGTGCAGTGGCTGGGGGAGGTGCCTACTCCAGTGTCTGCACGTTGCTGTGCTGCGTACAGAGAGACATGATCTTGGTGACAAGTCCCTGCACTCTGCTTTGCCCTTTGATTTTCCTGCCTGTGACATCCCAGTCCTAGGATTTACCATCTTCTTAGTGATGGGCAGCCTAGCTTCTGTATCAGCATTTAAAGACATCAATAGCTTTTAGTTTCTTCAAGGTGTGTTAAAGTGTCCCTTTGAAAACAGACCCACTAGACACCAGAACTTGAAGTCAGGACATAGGCAATTTATTAAGAGGTAGGTTTTATTCAGGACCAAAAGCACATTAGTACACTCCCTGCTGGGATTCGCTGTACCCTTCTGCTTCATTGCTTGATCTGACCAAGCAGTGATAAAATAGCTTTTTTAGTAATCCTTTCTCTGAGATGAAGACTTTTACATTATCAAAATTGTCTGTGCTTTAAAGCTAATCTGACTGGTTTATCTGTTCTTCTGGTGTCTTGAGCTTCAAGTCATTAATGCTGGTGGTCTTTCTGCCTCAGCAAAACATAAACATTATTCTGAGTGGCTCACTTGTGCCAGGGGAAGTTTAGATTGGATGTTAGGAAAAATATAGCTCACCAAAATGGTTGTCAAGCATTGGAGCAGGCAGCCCGGGCAAGTGGTGGAGTCACCATCCCTTAGAGGTACTTAAAGGACTTATAAGTGTGGCACTTAGGGTTGTGGTTTAGTGTTGGATTTGGCAGTATTAAATTTATGGTTGGACTCGATGATCTTAAAGGTCTTTTCCAGCCTAAATGATTCTATAATTCTAAGTTAAGTAATTGTTCATGTTGGCAGCCAAAACTACATTATTATTTCTATTTAATGCATCTTAGCCTGCACTTGGGAGTACATCCTCTAAAATCTTGCTGTGTTACCTTTCCAATATGGAAAATTCTTATTTTTTCAGTATGAAGCATTCAAAATTAAGAGCCTAACTAAATTTCTGGAACAGTGGCTTTGAGTAACTAAAGAAACATATCTTTCCACCTGGAAGTCCCAGAGAGTATAATATGAAGGAGTGCTATATAACAAAAATAGAGCAGGTGAAGTCATCAGAAGTATGTCAGTACTGAGGGCAGCCTAGAGAGCAAACAACTTATGAGGTGAATTGTTGCTGCCAATGGTTTGCAGCTACAATGAATTTGTTTTAAAAGTATGGAACAAACTTTGTTAGACATCCTCAGCTTACAGGTCGATTTCATGCTGTTGGTTGCATTCTGTGATCAAGGGGTGCTGAATAACTGAGGCTGGGCATATAATTCAAGATTTTCTTTCTGTGTCTGTGTGTGTCATACCTTTGCAAATGCATCTAAAGTAGTTTTGTAAAAATATTTTTTTATGTTATGTTAGTACAATCAGTATTCACAAATGGAGAACTTCATGGGTATTTCCATCTGAACAAATCTGGCCAAAAGAAAGTAACCTGGATTAAACTGCTGTAACTGTAGACAAGTTGTCCTCATCCAGCAGTAAAGTTATTAAATGTCAGTTGGAATTACATAGTTCTGGGCACTGAAAATACTTTGACTTCCTTCAAGAAGGCAGCTTATGAGGAATAAATCAGCACTTTTCAATGAAATCTACTCTATTGAGCAAACTGAATTTGAAAGATAGAGATGACTGTCATATATTTAACAAAGCACTTTGGTAAAGAAAAAGTTAGTGGCCAAAGTCAACCAGAGCTGCATTTTCCCCTCAGGTACCTACAGAGGAGCTGTGCATGGGTAGACAACTGGAACAGTGTGGATTGTCACTCTAGTTATTGTGAGAGAGATGGTAGCTTCTGAGAGGAGGCCTAGCGTATTCCTCCTACACGAGAGGAGTCTTGCCAGTGTAATGCACTGAGGAGTTTCTCTAATTAGTTCTGTGTCATCAGCATTCCTTCTACTCCTAGGATAGATGAGGTGCACAAAATAGCATAAGGTGATTTAGTTTCTTTTTGTGTGTGTTTAAAAAGTCATACTCTCACGTGTCTAAAAGAGTGCTTTTAAATCTTAAAAATGTGTTGGCACAGAAAATGAGCAAGAACTTGCCCTGGGGAAGAATTCAAACATCTAGTCTGCTTTTGTGGTTATAGCCTGCACTATGCAATGCCTTAGCTCACAGCATCGTTTCTTTGTTTCACTGAGGAGAAAAAAACACAGTGGCAACTTCTTTCCTGCCCCTTGTTTAATCCGTATGTCTTTTAAAATATGCAAAACATTAAAGAACTCTTCCACCATAGCTGTCTTCTTAACTTGCTTCTGGGACTAGGATTCCTGTGTTTCAAAATCTGGGAGGGAGTGCTATTAGCTTGTCTTTTCTGACTCTGTGCTTTGGAGACCTTGCATGTTCCATGCAGAGCATGCTTACATTTGTTTATGGTAGGTTTTATTATCACATACTGTAAATAATCGTGAAGAGTATGGAGGTCTTTTTTCTATTTTTTGTGGTAACGCTGTTGCTGTTTGCCCCATTGTGCAGTGGCTTGTGCTAGGCTGTGGGTGATGGCTGCCCTGGTTGTGACTGAGGTGTTCCCTAAGGTCTTAGCCCTCCCTGCTCAGCTAGAAGCACTTTGCATCTGTTGGGGCTTCTTGGAGCAAAGCCTTGGCTCACCTGCCTTCCTCAGGCCTATACAGGGCAGAGGAGTGGAAGAGCATGTGAACTGATCTGTGTGGTTTGAATGGAAGCTATACTGTACATGGCCTACAACCAAAAATGGTCTTTGGGGGCTTTTGAAGATACAAGCTAGAACTATTTACATTTATTTTGGAAATAACAGATTACTTGTATTAAGAGTAACTGAGAAAAGGAAAAACAGTAGTGTGGGGAAAAAAAAAAAACAGAGAGCTGAGGAAAAAGTGGTGGGAGGAGAGTTTGTTTCTCTGTGGCCAGTTTGGGGAGCTGGAAGAGGAGGCTGGGCTCAACGTTGCTGGTGGAATGCAACAGGGACTAACATCGGCCATGGCTTGAAATTGAAATAGCAAAAAGTGTGCCAAACCCTACAGCTGCTGCCTGTGGGAGAGAAGGGTTTGGAGTCCTGATCTGGGCCAGTCACTGAAATTCAAACCTTCCTACAAAGTGTTAAATCATTTGACAGAGATGGTTCCTGCATTCTTAGAAATAGAACTGTCTCGTGTAGTCTTCTGCCCTGCTTCTGTCTAACAGTTGTTAGTGAAACTACATGCTGTGCACTTGCCTTCCAGTCTTATGAGCTTTTAGGTATCTCAATTATTTAAGGTATTTTCCTTCTCAAGGAGGAAAAGCAGATGAGAGAAATGAGCTGAGATAAAGAATTAGGTCGCGTCTATTCCACTAGTAACCAAATGAACAACAGTAACCAAAAAAATAAAAGGAAATTATTTGTCTTGATGGTAACTTCTACTAGTAAATAATTACTACTCATCAAATGTGATGTCCTGTAACTCATCATCAGAGCACTTTGGTGGCACAGCTTATAATGATACCATGGATAGAAACTGGACTGCAATCGCTCCATCTGTCCTCTAAGAAAATGTCACTGTTTTTCTTACACACGTGCCATTTTGTTAATTAAATAACAAAATGAAATATAAGACAACTCACCAAGATGGGCTGGCTTGGAAAACAGGAAAGAAGCAAATGGAATGAGTTCTCCTGCTCGATGGGATGTCAGTCTGGGATAGTCACAGAGTTAAGTCGTGGAGTAGGAATTCCTAAGGAGTGGCTTAGCAATCACATCAGCCAGCTCCCTCAGCACTTGTGGGTGGATCCCATCAGAGCTCATGGATTTATGAGTGTTCGGTTTGCCTAAATGATCTCTAACCCTACTCTACTTGACCCTGAGGGAAGGTCTTCCTTTCTCCAGACTTTCTCTTTTACCTCCAGGGTCTGAAATTTCTGAGGGCTGGCCTTAGCAGTAAAGACTGAAGCGAAGGTGGCATTCTGTAATTCTGCCTTCTCTGTATCCTCCATCACCAGGGCTCTCATCTCACTCCGCAGCAGGCCCACATTTTCTCTAGTCTTCCTTTTGCTACTGATGTGCTTGAAGATGCCCTTCTTGTCACTGAGATGCCTTGCCAGATTAAATTCCAGGGTGTCTTTAGCTTTCCTCGTTGCACCCCTGTACACTCTGACCATGTTCCTATATTCCTTCCAAGTAGCCAGTCCCTTTTTTTCACATTCTGTAAATTTCCTTCTGTTTGAGTTTTTCCAGCAGCTCCTTGCTCATCCATGCAGACCTCCTGCCTCCTTTGCTTGATTTCTTGATCACAGGGATGCACCCATCTCAAGCTCGGAGGAAGTGGTGCTTGAATATTAACCAGCTCTCTTGGGCTCCCCTACCTTCTAGAGCCCAAAGCTGTGGGAGTCCTCCAAGTAGATCTTTGGAGAGTCCAAAGTTACCTCTCCTGAAGTCCACGGTTGCAATCCTACGTGTTGCCCTGCCTCTTCCATGATCCTGAACTCCACCATGACATGAGCACTGTAGCCAAGGCTGCCCTCAACCTTCACATCCCCAGCCAGACCTCCTTTGTTTGTTCATACAAGGTCCAGCAGCACACTCTTCTTGTTGGTTCCTCCACCACCTGTGTCAAAAAATTGTCATCAGTGCACTGCAGGAACCTCCTGGACTGTGTGGGCCTACCTGTGTTGCCTTGCCAGCAAATGGTGGTCAAAGTCCCCCATGAGAGCCAGGGCATGGGCCTGTCTGTGGAAGGCCTCCTCTTCCTAATCAGGCGGCCTGTAGGAAGCACCCACAACAGTGTCACCCATATTGCCCTCACCCTTTAGTCCTACCCATAAGTTCTTCACTCGTTCTTCATACCCTCTAAGCAGAGCTTGATACATTCCAGTTGCTCTCACAAAAGAGCAGCTCCACCACCTCACCTTGCTGGCCTGTCTTTCCTAACAAGTATGTAGACACCCATTGTACCTGTGAGACAGGTACAGTACTTTTGACTCCAGAAGCATACCTGGAAGAGAAATTCACTAGTGTAAATATTTCTGCCCTTCCATAAAAAAAACTAAATACAAATGAAATATTATTATTGGTGTTGTTTCTAATGTTGTTCAAGGTTTCTTCCATTAGTAAACTGTGTTCGTGCATCAAAATATTGTTGTGCAGCAATGGCTCTGTACTTGCTTCTTGTTTATAATAGTTGGGTTTTTTTTTTGTGATTATAAGATGTCTCAGCTTTGGAGAGAACTGTAGCTTCAGGATGTCTTAGAGAAACGTGATTTGCCACTGCCCAGGGTCTACTTGACCCTGTCATTTTATATAGCTTGGGTCTTTTGCATGAAATCGTCAGTGGTTGAAGGAATTTGGCTTGTGGTTTGGGTTTCAGGGTTAGGGTAGAACAGACAGACACATGTGTGTGTATATATATATATGTAAAAAAAAATTTTTAATTCTGGAAGTTGTCTTTTTTGCAGATATCTGAGATTAGATTTGACTATTCTGTCACATGAGAAAAAGTTCTTTTTCTTTGTTTTGCTTTTGCCCTGGTGTTAAAACTGGCTGATACAAATCAATCCATTAGTGTCTAACTGTGCATGTGTTGTACCCAGAGAGAACTGTAAGCGATGTAACTCTGTTTTACTTACTTTGACTGTATTGTAGAGTTCCAAAGTGCTTGCAAAGAAGGAGCTCTCCTACATGCCTATCATTGGTTGGATGTGGTATTTCCTAGAGATAGTCTTCTGTAAGCGTAAGTGGGAGGAAGATCGGAAAACAGTCATGCAGAAGTTACTGAATCTCCGGGACTACCCTGAAAACTTTTGGGTGAGTGATGCCTATCAGGTGAGTGTGAGGTGCTGTAGTGCATGGGAGGGATGAAGGGTATAGACAGTATGTGATAATTCCCAGGTTGCTCCCGAGAACTTTGATTTTTGAGCTTTCTGGCACTATTAGAAGAGTATTCTCTAAGAATTGAATTATCTCTCACATTTCCTACGTAAAAGTCTTGTCTGTTTTCTTCCTCTGTGTTATGGAGTCCTACAGATGTTATTGCAAAAATACCTCCACTGTGTTCCATTCAGTAACCTTCTTGGTTCTCTAAATACAGGAACTGGAGAGGGGTAGTTGCCAGAACTCATGGTGGTGCAACAGATGCATGTGACAATGTTGTTGTATTGAAACACGTTACCTGTGTTCTAAGCTCCTGTCTCACCTTAAACTGCAGAGTTCATACTAGTATTTTCTCCTTCCATTTTGTTGTGATTCTGCCATTCCTGTGAAGGTACTAGGTTAGATATGGCCCAGCAGAAGTAGAAGCCACAGATAAGTACCCAGTCAGAGAGGTGGCCTCTGGGGCCATCAGCTGTGTTACAGGGAGAAGATTTGTGTCATCTTCCAGTAACAGGAAAGTGGTTTTGCATTACCATTGTTTTTTAGTATTGAGCCTGCCTGACATTTTGTAGTCCGGGAATGAAGAGCCTTTGAATTTTTTCTTTTCTTAGTAGTCAGAAGAATCCTGGTTCTCATGAGCTGGTGCTGGCAAGAGAGGGTTTCAGTTGAGGATGTGGTTCTTTAAGCAGCCTCCCAAGGGCATTCAGGAACTATTGCTTAAGAAGGAGTTTCTTAGTGAAGATGTATGTGCTGTACCTTTCATTCTCTGAAACACAACTTTTTTTTTTTTCTTTGTAATTGGTGAGCACAAACTGCCACCATACTTTATGTACTGTTGTAGAGGGATTACTAAGGAAGAGCAATACCTATAGTAAGAGAGATGCAATTGTTGATGTACACTTGGGGTTATTCTAGTGTGTAGTTTTAATTTGCCTTTGTATGGTGATATAATGTCAAAAGACATTATGCAGTGATAATGATTAGACAGTGATAGAGCCTTGGAAGGTACAAATGCAGAGCATGCCAAGTGAGCTCAAAGGATTTTCTCATTAATTTCTGTGTGTTTCATCTTGCTGTTTAATATTCTGCATGCCATACACAAGTAAAAGTGCTCTTAGATGAGCTGGAACTGAAGCTGGCTGCTTGGCTGGTTTTCTTCAGTCTCTCTCTGTTGGCTACATCTTTGCTGTGGGTTATAAGGACTTAGCTTGTGAAATCTGGCAGTGCTCTCTGATGGGTTAGTTTGCATTCAGGCCTGGCAGAAAGCAGATGAGCAAGTGGTAATTCTCCAGAGATCTATCTGCACTCCCCTGTCTGCCAGCAGCAGAATTGTAATCGTTCATGTCTGAGCACTTCCGTGGTATAGTTCATAAGGGGATGAGGCTTTCAGTTGTCCTTTATCTGCTGCCTTACATATGTTACCAGCTCAGTCACTGGCATCAAAGTTACTGCCTGCAGTTGTCAGTGGCCCTCATGCAATAGTGAAAGTAAGTGGGTTGGAATGAGGGGAAACAAGGTGGGCACTGAAGCATTTCCTAGAAGTGTATTTGGTTTAGACATTTAGCAAGTTTTAGATACCACCATACTTTAATGTCTCACCATCAGTGAGAGATTTGGAACAGAAGGTATGTTTTGAGTATTTTGTAACATCTCGTTAAGAGATGGAGTGACTGATTTAGGGAAATCAAGTCATTCTGATAGCAAGTAGCAAAGCAGATGTTAAAGCCTAAAGCTAGAGTTCAGACCAGAGGATAGAAGGTTGGATGGGTGGGGGCAATTGAGTGAGTTTGGTTTTGGCTTTTTAGTTTGGCATGAGTTCTTTGTTTGTTTGTTTGTTTGTTTTATCCAGGGCAGTTAAATCCTAAATGTGTATGTGGCTACACCTGTACCTGCTGGCAGTGTTCATTTGGGTTGCGTTGGTAAGAATTAGAGAGGTCTCTGGTCAGACAGATGTCAAAGACCTGAGCTGCTGTCTAACTGAAGTTCTCTCTTGGTTTTAGTTCCTGATTCACTGCGAGGGCACAAGGTTCACAGAACAGAAGCACCAGATTAGCATGCAGGTAGCCGAAGCCAAAGGCCTGCCCAAGCTCAAGTATCACCTACTGCCACGCACGAAAGGATTTGCTGTCACCGTTCAGTGTTTGAGAAATGTAGGTAAGGAAAGTCACAAGGAGCAATGCTAAATGATTATTTCATCTAACTGATGTCACTTTGCCATGCTTTTTTTTCCCCCCCCCCCTTTAGCATGTGTCCTAGCAGAAACACCCTGGGATCCTTTCTGACCTTTCTCTCACTAGCCTGCAAAAATTAAAGATTAGGTTGTGCTAAAAAAGTCATGGGGCAACTTGGTTATTTTTTGTTTTGTTTTCTGTTACTGCGAGTCTGTACTGAAGGATCTCAAGTTGCATGTTTCGTACCTCTTGCCAAAGGATAATATTACTTAGTATTTACTAAGCAATCCTTTTCTAAATCAAGCAAATACATCGCTAGAGAATCTGAGACAGAATGTCTTAAATATTTTCTTGTGGTAAATGTCTGCCTCAACACCATTTTTAAATAAAAAAATATTCTGCTTTAAATTTCTGCATAGATGTACTCTTTAGGGTTTCTTTGTGGAGCTGGGGGAGTAGACCTCCACTGGAGACACTTGTAGGTGAAATTTATAAATAAATTATTTCTACGGTACAGAACATGGGTAAGTTTTTCTTTGTTAATGTTGTTCTGAACTCCCCACCCCCCCAGTTATTTCTGGTTACTTGCATTTGCCAACTTTAAAGTGACAGCAGTAACAATATGGCACACATGGTTTTCAAATGATTTTGACTAGTACAATCCATCGAAGTCTTGTACTGTGTACTACCTGAGCAAGGGAAAGACAGTGCTAAGTAGCCATAGTGCTACAGTATCTTTGGGATTTGGTAGATTTTTATGTTGTTAGAAGGCTGATATATAAGAAAAACAAAGTGCTTAGTGGTTTAGAAGAAATGTTCTCGCTTAACTGAAGTTAATGTCAAAACTTCTTTTGTCCTTGAGGACATGTTTTTGCGTGGCGTATCTGGGATAGCTACTGTAAAAAAAGCTTTGCAGTCAAGTGTCTTGCTGTCTGTCAGACTTCTACATATCCTCTTGTAAGTCAGGTAGATAATATCACTGCTGTAGCTTGTCAGGCATCCACAACTTCCCACCCTCAAAATGGATAGCATACCTTGGATCGTTTCTGCTATGTGAAGAAGAAATAAGTTACTTGAAATATCCAGCAACGACCTTAAGAGGCACAGTTTAAATTTCCTTTTGGAATAAGGGCAACTGTTTTGCTGAGGGTGGGAGGAGGTGGACTTCAGGCATTGAAGGCTGAGTTGAGGTGAGTTGAAAATGCGATCTCCAGTGCCATGGGCTTGGGAGTTGGGGATGGGTTGATTTGATGATGATTTTATTCTTTTTTACTACTGTGTAAAGCAAGCAAAACATGGTTATGATTGTGGACAAGTAGCTGATTTGTGGGAAAATGTTTCAGAAGGAAACAGTTTTAGGGAACCCAGGTGACATTTATAAAAAGTTTTGGGCATTCATGTGATACACTACAGTAACACCTTAGGATCCTAAATATCTGAAATACCTTCAGAAAAAGAAAACTGAGATAGCTAATTTACTTACATACTTAGGGAAATGTATGTCACTACCTCAATCCAGAAGCTGTGACCTGTTAGATCAAGCAGGGTAAGGCTAATAAGAAGGTAATGTTTCCCTGTGAGTGTTCAAGGAGAATTGCAGAGAGTCATAGCTTCTCATAGATAGTGTTTGTTGAAACTGCATAGCTTAAAAACCTAACCACCAAACCTCTGAGGGAAACATCTGATAACTCCAGATGGGTGTTGCAAAACTTCTGGGTATGTTGCTTTACTTGCCTTGTTGCTTTTTGCAATGAGAGGGAGCTACTGTCTGGGTTACTTTGTTTCTCTCCTATATAGATAACGGGTATGTGTGAAGAGCGTTTGAAAGACCTTAGTAAACCATATCTCATTTTTAGAGGTTCTTGTAACTTTAATATGCACAGGTAACAAGGAAGTCCATAATTTTTTTTTAATAGAGAATGTGATGGAAATCTGTTTTGACAGTCCATAATCTAGATATTTAAGTTCTGTCTAGAAACTATTCCTTTCTTACATGAGTACTGATAGGATTTGACCACTTGTCTCTGTTAACTTGCACTGCCATTTGGTATCCATCTTATAAGCAGTAATATGTTGTTACAGGTGTCAATTATATGCAGAGGCTATACGTGGTAGTAATTTGGGCATTTTTTTTTTCTTGTGAATATTTACATTGTGAAATAGTTTTACTTGACTTGTTCAGTGTAAATCTCCCGAGTCTCATTGTTATGCTCTGCCTTACAACGTGGTCCAGTAAGTGACTGTATCCCTCTATTACAGCCCCAAATAACATGTCCAAACAGCATCAGTGTGGCTGCTGAACTGCTGCTCTGTCTGCAGAAGCAGCAGTGCCAACATGCAGATGTTCGTGACTTCAGTTCAGTGACATCTCTAATGATCTATAAGAGTGACTCTCGCAGGCTGCATGATTCACATCCCTGTCAGTGGCCGAGCCTGTGGTGGCATGTCCCTCCACACCTCTGGAAGTGAGAGGCCGATGCTGCCTGAGCCTTTTTTTGGGGCTGCCACTTTGGCTAATGCACCTTCTGCTCTTCCACAAGGGGTGGTGAGCCTGGCTGGAGTGCTTTGCTTAGGGAGATAGCTGCAGCATAACGTAGCGGTGAAGGGCAACCCAAATGTTTGGATCCAGTTCCAAGCTGGGTGTGACAGAGGTCAGCATTTCCTTTCTCTCTGTTCTTGGTTCCTTCTTTCTGTCAAGGGTGTCCTTGTATCACAAGTGCTAGGATAACAAGTGCTCACCACAGCAGCAATGAGGCATTGGTTCTTTTTGAAACTTAGTATCAGCTTAATGCCAGGTGATGCAGTAGTTCTCTGTTGGAAACAAGCATTGGTGCAATCAGTCTGACAAGTCCATCTGTTTCGAGAAACTTTGCTTCAGTTTATTTAACGCCCATACATGGGAAACTGCCTCCATACTTGTGAACCCCTGTCTGTTAGAATAAGGAGACTTATCTGGTGTCCTTCAAGGGTCTGTACTGGGACCAGTGCTGACATAGTGGGATCAAGTGCACCCTCAATAAGTTTGCAGTTGTCACCAAGCTGAGTGGTGCAGTTGACACGCCTGAGGGATGGGATGCCCTCCACAGGGACCTGGACAAACTTGAGAATTGGGCCTGTGAGCACCTCGTGGGGTTCAACAAGGCCAAGTGCAAGACTGGGACAGTCTCCAGTATCAGTACAAGTTGAGGGATGAAGGGATCGAGGGTAGCCCTGCAAAAAAATACTTGGGGGTACTGGTGGATAAAAAGCTGGACATGAGCCAGCAATGTGTGCTTACAGCCCAGAAGGCCAGCTGTGTCCTGGGCTGCATCAGAAGAAGCGTGGCCAGGTGGTCAAGGGAGGTGATTCTACCCCTCTCCTCAGCTCTGGTGAGACCCCAGTGGGAGTACTGTGTCCAGCTCTGGAGCAGAGGTCTGGAAAACTCTTATGAGAACAGGCTGAGAGAGTTGGGGTTGTTCAGCCTGGAGAAGAGAAGGCTCCAGGGAGACCTTATTGTGACCTTTCTGTATTTAAGGGAGATTGGTAAGAAAGATGGGAACAGTCTTTTTTACAGGGCCTGTTGTGATAGGACAAGGCATATTGTTTTTAAACTAAACAAGGGTAGATTTAGGTTAGATGGAAGGAAGAATGTTTTTTTTTTCTGTTTTTACTATAAAGGTGGTAAAACATTGGCACAGGTTGCCCAGAGCTGTGATGGAAGCCCCCATTCCTGGAAACATTCAAGGTCATGTTGGATGGAGCTCTGAGCAACCTGATCTAATTAAAGATGTCCCTGCTCACTGCAGGGGGTTGGACTAGATGACCTTTAAATGTCCCTTCCAACTCAATCTGTTCTGTGATTATTCTATGAAAAATACCTTTCACAGAAAGTAACAACAACCTTCTCTTCTAGCTCATTTCTTTCATAAGTGATAATGGAATTCTTTTCTCTTCAGAGACTTACTTTCACAAATTCAGCTCTCTGGACACAGTTTGATTCTCAAAGGAATGCTTGTAGTACTTCTTTTAACTTGTTGATATTTTTATCCGTGGCTATCTCTACCAGTTTTGTAGCACACATGCAGTCCCCAGGAACTTCATTTCTAGAAGCTGTTTGCTGTCTTAATAAATTGCTGCTAGGGTGTAGAGTTTGGTACCTGCACTGTTTATGTAAGCAAATTAGAATATGTGTCCGTTTCTAAAACATTCATTATTACAGTAAAATAATTGTTGTAAGTATTGCAAAAGATGTCTTAACAGTTACTCCTCTTGCCTAGCATTATACCAGGCAGTTCTTTTCAGCTGTTTTTATTTAGTGAAGACTTGGATTTAAAAATGTGCCTCATGATGGATTGTAGATAACTCCCAAGTTGTCAACCTTTTCTTCCAATTGTGTGTGCTGGGTACTACTGTCCTAGAGGGAATACATGAAAATAAATTCTAGGGTGATGTTCTCATAAATTTCAATATGACAGTGTGGGGTGGTTTTGCAATGACTTTTTTTCCCCCCCCCATGCACTGCGCTTTGCTCTTGATTTTTTTTCAATGTTTAGTAAGGCTTCTGGTTGTTCTTCTGAGCAAGCTACCAAGTTTGAGGCGATGGGTGATTTTTGACCAAGACAACCAAAGCAATGAGATGTTAAGTCAAAGGACTGTGTGAAAGTGGCTGTCATGCCAGCAGTACAGTGAATTCCACCATCTCTTCCCCTCCCTTTCCCAGTCTTCAGATCATTGTGTGCTAGTATGAAGCTCTGTGTCGGCATACTCAGTGCCGGTAGGATGACCATTCTGGTATAAAACACCATGTCCACAAGTAATGCATGAAATTCAAGAGGACAGCTGAAGTAAGAAAAATCCTCTCTGGATATGTAATCCAAAGATTTTCTAGACAAAAATTAAATCTTAAACTCTTAAGTACGTAGCAATCTGTCAGAATGCCATACAAGAAACCAAAAATTAAAGATATGAAAAATACTGGACAGAGATTAGAAAACAAAAGAAAAAAACTTGCCTTTTTTTGCTAGAAGACAGCAATTCAGCTGGAAAAAAAAAAAATTGATTCTAGTTAAGATCTGTTCTGAGCCTTTGAAGAGGCTTCCAAATATTGAACTGTTTGTTATTAATGAAAATTGTTTTAAAATACTTTTGAGAATTTTTTTTTTTTTTTTCACAATTGTAGCAAAACTTCTCAAATGCTGCCTAAATTATTCTGAGAGTGTGGCAATTGCAATGTTTTCAAGATACTGTGGAGTTATTTTTTTTTACTTGGTTTAGAACACTAAATTTCTGGACTGTGCAGCTTTGGGGTGAGAAAGTAATGAGTGGTACAGTTTTCATTATATAATTACGAAATACTCATTTAATTGAAAACAATTCCAGTGTGTCATGCAGCATGCTAGTATGCTAGTGCTGTCTGGGTTGTAGAAGCTTTCTGGCAAACTTTTAATTCCGTGCACTCTTGTTGTGTTTGGTTTTACTGTTGTTCTTTTCCTGCAATTTCAGAATGGAAGAGCTTGGGTCTTCAGTTATTTTGTATCTGGGTATAACAGGGGTCTGTTTACTCCTGCACATGCCATCATTGTTGTGTTTTTGGCACTGCTTCACACCGAAAGGTTTCAGTCTGATATTAAAAAGGACTGGACTGAGTATCAAATTACAGACCAGTTACAAACTGGAAGGGAGTATTTTTTTCCCTGAAGTGAAGGAAAACTGTGTGCAGCCATCATCACATAAAGATGTTCTTGACCAACTCTGCAGGTTTTTTCTGAACAGGAGAAACATCTTCCAGTATGTCTGAACAAGCACCCAATTCCTATCAAAACTCAAATGTAGATGTCTTCTAAAAGACAAAAGAACAAGTGATGTGTACATCATAATTCCCTTTATTGCATTCCTGTTGTCGTTAGAATAATCTCATGCTATTAAAGAATAAATTAAGAAGCTTACCCTGTATAAACCAAATCAAGCTCTTGTCTTCCTTCAATTACATTGGATTAGTAAATTAGAGTAGATTAGTATAATCCTTCTGCAATAAGAAGCTTAAAAATAGAGGTAGATAATTTATTAAAAAAAAAAAAAAAAAAAAGTAATTTCCTACTTAGATTTTTACAGGGAGAGTAGTATGCTTGAGGTAGATTTTGTGTTTTAGTTATGAGTTTGGGCTAAAAACTCTGCTGTAGTAGGAAAAGAAGTGTTAATGAGGGATACAGTCTGTATGCAGTGACAGGGTTTTGGCCTCTGTTTTCAGGATTCCCTTGCAGCACTGAATCCAGGCTATTCTGTTCTGCACCATGAATTCTCTTTTGCTATAATAAATGATGTGGTGAGTTTCTGGGGGCTGAGTGTTGTGACCAAGCCATATTAATCTCTCATAGCTAGAGAGGCTTCAAAACCAAAAGCAAATCTGTTCAGTGTAATAAAAGGCTTTCTTTAGTGGGTCAAGAGCTCTCACAATAAAGCTTCATCACAGTGTTCATTATTGCAAAACCCTAGAGCAGAAAACCTAAAATACAGCAAAGCACATGTGAAGTGTGTGTTAATCATTATTATAACAAAGAAAAATAAAAAATCTTGTTGCTGGTATTGAGCTTAGAATTCGTATCACAGTGCATAGGTGTGTCAAGAAAATTAATTGCTCTCTATTAATTTTGTTACATCAGGGAAACATTGTCTCTAAGGATGTGTTCAAAGAAACTTTTTTGAACCACTTCATATGATTTAAAGTAGTGAACACTTTTCCTGTAGAAATTGCTTGTTACTGCTTTCTTAGTTTAACTACGAACAACCTTTGCAAATAATCCTGCTGTTACCACACAGTCCTGAGCTGCAGAAACTGTCTTCTCAAGGTTGAACGTTTGGCTGCATTTTTATTCTAGGGAACTCGGGTGTTATATTCCTCACAGCTGCATCTCTTCATAGCAGCAGCCCAGCTCGCACAGGACGTGGTCTGTTACTCTGCCTTTGCCCTTTAGCAAGTGCCCCTGTTATCAAATAATGGACATGAAGAGGAGGTTGTTTTGAACTCCATTTTGATTTATAGTTGCATTAAGCCCTTAGAATGTCTCACACACATTTCTACAATTCTTAGTCAAACTGTATAAATTGTTCATTGTTTATGAAGTCTGTACCTGCTTGGTTATTTACCCAGATTTGAGGAACTGTGTCATTCACAGCTGAGTTGAGAACATAAATAGTTTTTTAACCATTTAACTCGTAAGTTGTGCCTAGGTGCATTAACTGTCAGAAGCTGCAATTGAAAGTGTATTCCCTCTGCCCAAAATTCTGCAGCTGGTGGGGTAGGAGACAAGGGTGGAGGGCAAACCTTTCTATTCTGCTGATGCAGTTCCATAAAGGGTCACTGGTTATTTGGCTTAAGACCTGCATGTTGAATATTGCATTGTCATCTTTATCTTGTAAAGCTTAAACACACTACAACTCAAACTGTGGTGCTGCTGATTTCATGTTTTAATATTCCCCTTGTCTGAGAGAGTGTGACTTATTTCCATTTTATTACTACAGCAATCACATAACCTGTTTCTCTTCTTGTAGTTTCTGCAGTCTATGATTCTACCCTCAATTTTAGAAATAATGAGAATCCAACATTGCTGGGAGTTCTGAGTGGGAAGAAATATCATGCAGATTTATATGTAAGGCAAGTAATCCATATTTTAATTCCTTTTTGGCATACAGGAGTGTGTATTTGCAATCACAGTTGCTCAGATAAGGAAATATTTTCAAGCAGGTAACAGATAGCAAGTCTCTACTCACCTGGCTTCACAGAAATGCGCATAAAGTCTTATAAAGGGTGAGACGGGTGTCTTGTACAGTTCTGTGACTCTAAATATGTGGGGGCCCTATAAAGTTCTACAGGATTTTTTTGTTTATTATTGTTTTATTCATTTGTTTGCTCAGCAGCAACAGTGAGGCCCCTTTTCTCTCACTTGGCCAGAATACCAAACATCTGCTAAACGTTCAGGGGTGTGGCTTTACACCTATCTCTGGCACAGTAGTTCTCACTATGGTGGAGGCCAGGCTCAGCACTGGTCCCACCTCTGTTTGGTGTAGCTGGTTATGTATCTGACTGCCTCTCCCTCCCTACCAAGAGGGGGATTGTTGAATGAAAACAACTGTTACTTGGGTTCTGTATCATTAATATTTCTGTGACTGATGAATACCCCAGCGGCTTCCCATAATCTTAAGAGGAATCCAAGGCCCTTATTCCCAGGCCAGGTTCCACCAGCAAGCGCCCATGCTGCAGTCACTCAGGATATATGATGGTTTAGGGTTGGAACATAGGAGCCTAGGGTGATTTCACAAGTCGTCAGGAGTTTGTCATAACCCCTTTATAGCTCTAACTGGCTGGTCTAATTGGTTGTCTTTGGTAGCAGCATAAGTGAACTAGGGCGACCTTTTCTTCTTATCTCCCATTTTCTGTTCAAAAGATATTTTTTCAGAACCCTTTTTGCCCAAGGATGAAAAGAAACCACGATTCCTCGTGGATGCAGCATGAATTTGCATTCCCACTGGGCTCTCATGGGTAGCCCAGCCTAGTAGTCTTGTGTTTGGTGCACATGGCCTGGCTGGCTAGTGTTCATGGAGGAGCCTATGGCCCTACCTGTGTGGGCCATTCCTCCAACAGCACATGCATCTTGCTGTATATCCCCTTACACTCTCCCAGCCTGCTGGAAGTCAGCCTGGCAGAGCATGAAAATTGCTTTTCTGTTTGCTCTTCTGTCCTTCTGAGCTTCCTGAAAAGCTCTTACAGGCAGGGTAAACCTCATGGCAAATTGGTTTTGGCAATTAACTGGGGACCATCACAGATATTTTTCAAAATCCTCCTTCTTCGCTTATTGAAGTGCTGTAGGTGTTGTACTCAGTAGAATTTTGTAAAATTTGGATGGGCTTGTTTGTCTCTGCTTAAATTGTGTTGACTTCTAATGTTTGTCATCATAAAACTTTCTTAAATAAAGGAACAAAACGGTAGTGTTGCACCTCATGATTTATTAACTGCAAACAGGAGTGTCCCAAGTGTGAAAAGTGCTTTCTCCTGTGGTGAAGGAAGTTAATTTGATGTTGCTGTTAATGAATATTAATGAAAATATATTTCAAGATATTGAAAAATGTAAAGTTATTAAATCTTCCTACTAGCATACCTAAAAGAAGATGGCAAGTGGATTTTTTTTTTTTTTTTTTTGTCACAGGATTATTGACCAAAATACATGTAATGAGATGAAAACTTTGTTTTGTCAAGAGAGGCTTTTTCAGTCATAAGAGCTGTTTTGCTGGAAATTATGCAACCAAGCTGCACGTAGCAAAAATTATAGGAATTGGAAATGTTACCTGAGAAATACTACAGTGCTTTACCTTAGGTATAAGGAGAATAGTTTGCTTTTTCTCTGTAATGCCTAGCAGATTAAACATTTGAACTCTACAGGTGGGTTAAGAAATTAATTAATTTAAAACTTTTGTTTGGAAACAGAGAATTACGAACCTCTATGAAGCTTGCTTTAGTGAGCCTGAACATAATGCATTACTATTTCAGAGAGCTAAATTTCTGAATTTCAGCTACATCTGAAAAATGATGGTGGTTCTAAAAGCAAACTATACTTTGCTCATCTGGGAGCTGTTACCACAAATTAAAAAAAGGTGGAAAATGTAGTGACTCTCCCATCAGGTGGAGAGTCTGTCTGTATGATGTAAGTGCTGTTCATGCTAGCTGAAGTATCTCACGTTCTTCAATTTCTCTTGTTCACCATTGGCAGACGGATTCCACTAGAGGAAGTCCCAGAAGATGAGCAGGAATGCTCTAACTGGCTCCACAAACTGTATCAAGAAAAGGTTGGTCTTTTGTCTAGACAGCACTTGCAAGCCACTAGTGCTCAGTTATTTATGCTGCCTGTACACCTTTACAGTCTGCATGTGTAGTGGTCCTGCTCTGGGGGCTTGGGGGTTGGCTGCTTGGGTTCTTCATTTGTTTCTCAGGGTGAGTGCTCTGTTTCTCCAGACATGAACTGATCTTGTGCTGTCAGTCATGATTGTCTTTATTTGGTACTTAAAGAGCAATAGGAAGAAAACTTAAGCAATCCTTGAGAGAGTAGCTGTAAAACTCTTCTTTAGAAAGTTGCATAAGGGTACAAAACCCACAACTACCTCCTGGTTGGTAGAAGGACCTCCTTCCCCTCAACGGCAGCTCATAAATCAAGAAGTAATTAGTGGGCTAAATGAGGTGTATTTTGCTTTAGTGTACTAGAATTTTTTTCTGTTTTACTCTGTCTTTTATACCAAGGCAAAGATGCAGCATTAATAGGACAGGCTGATAAATTGCTTTCACATTGTGTGCATAAAAGGCATGCTTTTAAGATTCTTAATTATATAGGATCAGAGCAAAATAGTAATGACTGTGTTTGTAGATGCCTGCTGATTTTGTTTTTTTTTCCCCAAATACTTTGATATGCATCCTTCAGTCTTTCAGAATATGTTTCTCACAGGGTTTGTTTTTATGGACACAGGAGATAACCAGCACTCCCGTTTCAGTCGGTGGGAGTCATAGAGATGCAAGGCCTGAGGGCCTGGCAGCTCATCTTGCTTCAATAAATTGATCTAAGTTATGTATTCAGACTGGAATACAGCAGTGCTTCGGGTTTAGAAGGGATAGAATATAGCTACAGTCTGATTTCCTGTCACTGGGGCAGCAAAATTCTGCTGTGCCATTTGTTGTACTCCATCCAGACCACCACATGAGCATTCTGTATTGACTGTGTTCTCATATTCTCGGCTTCACACCATGACAGCTTCTAGTTTAATTTATCACCCCTCTAAGCAGCTTGCTTACAGGAAAGTGAAAAGTGTGTATTGAGACACTAGATGAAGATCTACTAGCTTTGCTCCCTTCTTGTAGACCGTGCCACTAACACCTAGTTCAGTCACAACCCCTAACACTTTTCTGTAGAGAGGCATCACGTTACCCACAGGCCTGTGCTCTCTCTGCAGGCATATATGTGCAAATGGACCTTTTGCTGAACCTTGCAGAAGTCCACTTTGTGCTGCTGTGGCATTATCTGTAACCCTGTTCCTAAGAACTGTTTAGACATTTGCAAGAGAGGAACATAAATCAAATGAGAATGTGGTGATTGTTTTCTTGAATCCCTTATTACAGTTTCCAGTCAGTCACTTCAAGTTCTTTCTGTTACTCCCTCTTTGGCAAACACTCAGTTATTTCTAGTGCAAACAGAGCGTACAACTATCCTGCTTTCTTCATAATGACTTAGTTTTCTGGTTGGTTAAATCCATAGTTTCCTATTTAGGTATAGGAGGAAGGAATATGTGTTCAGTTTTCCTTTCCATTAAAGCATTTTTGGTTGTGTAGCATTTTTCTTTTTATTAGTTGGGGATATTTTGATTTCATGGTGGTATTGTTTTTTTTTTTCTGAAGGTGGCATGTTCCTCTTCCTTCAGCTGTTTTACATTAGTGAATCAGTTACTTCATTGCAGTCATTCCTGGTTTACACAAGCCTTTGTCTCTGTAAAATCAGAGTGGGACAATACAGAGCAGGGGCAACTTCTTCATGAGTCCTGAGATGATGAAAGCCCACCTGCAGAGTAAAAGTGCCATTTGGTTTCACCTTTCTGCCATGCATCTTTAAAAATATAATTGGCTCTTAGGCTGGATAACAAGCAGCATTGCCACCTAGGTGTTGTTTCCAAAAATGAATTCTGTGTCAGATTAATTTCTTCTCAAATTTATGTTCTTCAGAGTCACTAAATATTTATGATAAACTGTAAGAAATATGTATTCAAAGGGCAGTAATTCATTGCAAGATATGCACTCATTTTGGTTGTAGTACTCCACTTTCTGTTTCAAAGTAAGACAAGTGAGACTCGTCTCAAGACTGAAAGGCTGAAAAAGAGTCCCTGTTTTATCTTGCATTACAGTTTCATGTGCTGTTGCTTATTCTTGGTGATTTTAATAATTTTCCAGGACCTTCCCAAGTCTTACATACTGTCCATGGAATCATGCTGTGGTAGCATGATCTAGTAAGTGGGGTGTGCTACAGGTACTGTGGTCAAGGCTGGAGTGCTGTGCACTTGTGATGATGAAGGCCACAAAGCTGTTTGAGTGAGTCATGATGAAATGAGCAGTTAGTGGACATGATGTTTCGTTTTGCTTTGTTTTTTAATTGGTCATTAGTAAAGGAGTGAGAGCCTTTGAGACAAGCTTATTCTGTAGTTTCTTACTTCATTGCCTAATCTCAGTTACATATAGGTCAACCTGAGATACTGCTCTTTGAGAATCTGGTGTGCTTTGTTCTTGCTGCTTATCACTTCATTTTCTGCTTTAGGCACTGTTGCAGGTGGAGGGAACAAGGGCCTTGCCAGGTGAACAATGGCACTGCTGTTCTGAACCAAACACTGTTCTCCTTCCCTTTCTAGGCAACATGTCCACATGTTCCTTTCTCAGCTGGGGTGAATTTTGTCCTTCCACAGCTGGCCAGCACTGCCAAATTGTAACAGAGGTGCAATTTGGGTTGCTCTAGGCTTTTTTTTTTTTCTTTTTTTCTTTTTTTTTTTTTTTTTAAACTGTCATTGCTAGTAAGATTCCCTTTAACTTTAACAAGGACCAGGTTGAGCATCGTAGTGTCTGGTATGAAGAGGTATTGTATAATGGTCACAGCTCTGCTAGCCTTTGTGTGTGTTTTCTTTTTTCACCTCCTTACAGCTTCAGTGCCTGAAATAGAAGTCCTGCTTGAGAATCTTAATTTCCATTAAAAAGAAAGAGAACTTCTGACTCTTCTCACTTGTGAGAGAAGCATGGAAAACAGGGCATGAGAATATATGCCGAAATGCCTCAGGGAATTAGCAAAGCATAAATGAAGAGGGGAAGTGTACAGAACTTCAGTGTTTAGGAACAAAGGTTATATTTTTGGATACTCATTCTTTGTGGGTTTCCTCATGAAAGGCAGTGGCATACCTCTGCAGTCAGAAGTCCCCAGTGGGAGCAGAGGGGAGGAATCCTTTTAGCCTCACACAAGATGATGGATGTTCCTGGATTCCCCCGGCTGCTTTATCCATCCCACTGTCTGAAGTAACTCAGATTTGGTGGGAGCATTAGAAAAAGCGTGTTTCTATGTCCAAATATGATACTTGAGTGGACGGGATTTATTACAAACTGAAAACAAGCTCTAGATGCAGGGGGATGAAAGGGACTTAATGTGGGTAAAGGTGATTGATAGAAATGTTGAGGTTCATCATGGGTTTAAATGCTGAATTGAGCTGCTTATGAATGCCATAAGCACCCTCACAATAGCTTAGCATTCAGATTAACCCACAGTTCTCTTCTGCAAGGAATGTGAACGTATTTAAGGGTAAGGAATTGTGAATGAATTGAAGAGGCATTCTCCACAACGGTGTAAAATGTGTAGGGGGGGTGATGGCATCGACACTGTTGGGGCTGTCGTATATTTCTTCCATCTGTCCCAAACCTCTGGCTGAGATGTGGTCAGCAGTTTTGCTGCTTCTAATGATGTGTGGAGCCAACGGAGTGACAACTGCTGTCCTTGTTTTCAGTCGGTCTGTCTTGCTTTCTGTGGTAATAGGCCCCCTAATGGTGATAGCAATAATGGTCAGAAATGCTTAACTTTTCTGGATAATACTGGTATTTAGAAACCTAATTGTCTATAGTAGAATTCAATTTACTGAGCATTAGTAACTCTGTTTTATATACTAGCTATATACCAAATTCCTCAAGGCACTGTAAGGATAGCTTCATACAATGCGCAATTCGTTGAAGGCAGCTAATTAATTTGCCATAGTGATCCCAGTACAAGCTAGTTTGTGTGCATGAAACAGTCATAACTTTTCTAATCTCAACAGAGAGAGTGCAATGCTTTAATTACTGTGTAATTTCTCAAAATCTGAATGTTCTCTTTGAAATAAATAAAATGGTAGAAACTTGTAATAGCTCAAGTTGCTATTAAATAACTAAAGAGTTGTCTGTATCAGCTGAAGCACAAGTAAATGTAAAATCACAGCATAGTGGAAATAATCTTGTGGTTGATTAGGACAATCTTGGCTTTGCCAGAATTTTTGGAAACCATCACAAAGCATTCTTTTCTTTGAAGAAGTTTAGTACTTCAATTCTGACTAAATTGAGGTTCCTTTTTATGTCAGTCTAACGCTGAGTTTATTAATTCCTAGTTTTATGTGATAACACAGATTAGTAATTTGAACCATTAGGAAGGTTCTTTTTCCCCCCCATGCACTTTGATACCTTGGGTTGATCACACTGCTAAAGGCAATGCCATTCACTCATATGGGGCCTAGAGGAAAATACTGAATGCTAAGTCTCCTGTGCTTTAAAAAACACCATAAAACAAATAAAAAAAAAAACTCCACCAAACCTCAGCCCATTATCTGCTTTATATTTTACTAAAACAGGGAGTGCTTTGGTCAAAACCAGTGAGAGACGTTAAACTGTTTGCATGCTTAACTGTGCCTGCTCACCTTTTCTGAGAGGGTTGTGGGTGCTGGTTTAGAGCCGTGGTTGGAGAAAACATGAGGGAACAGAGGATCTGCTCCTGAACTTGTAGCCCAGACGCTTCTCTGGCTCACCAGCAGAGTGGCGGAGGCTCCTGCAGGAGGGTCAGCAGCCATCTCTGCATTGCTGCAGGAGTGTACATCCCCTCACCCTTCTTGGTTTACTGGGCTTGTTACACTCCCCAGGCATGACATTTTTGGGGCTTCTGTGAGTAGAAGAGAGAGGCTGTGCAAATCAATATATGTTTTTTGTGGGTTTTTTTGACCATGCTTATTGCCTTCAAAGGATAAGCTTCCCAGGCATGACTTGGTCTTTGATCTTCCCCCGTTATTACAAGCCTGCAGAAAAGGGAACATAAAAGTCAGGAATGGCTAGCTTTGTTGGCAGAGGGGGGTTTAATTGTTGCACTCCTTTGTTCTACTAGGATGCATTCCAGGAAGAATACTACCAAACAGGAACCTACCCAGCAGTTCCTACGGTACCACCCCGACGACCATGGACGCTTTTAAACTGGCTTTTCTGGGCCTTATTGCTGCTATATCCTTTATTCAAGCTGCTCATCAACATGATCAACAGTGGATCATCACTGACACTGGCTAGTTTTGCATTTGTCATTGTAATAGGTAAGTTTTCTGAAACAGAAAGAGTATTTCCAAGGTAACTGTCAGATGTGATTTATTGAGGCTTACTAAGTATAAACATGACCTGTGAATTCAACAGGCCATCTAGTACTATATCCACTTTAGCCTGGAATAAGTTAAACAGATTCTTTTGTTTGTTTGTTTGACTTTGTATAGTAGTTGCATTATTTTCTGTAAGAGGTGCATACAAAATTTCCTGTTTCTGTTGAACTCAAAACATAACTTCCCAGTGGGTTGCCTGCAAAAGGCTTCCCCTTCCTGTGTAGTGTGTTGCTGGGTTGTGCTTTGAATACCTAGAAGAACTGCTCGAGGATAATGTATTCTATTGAGAATTCTTTCATCTAATCATAGTCTGGTGTGTCATCCAGTGGAACTCCATGAACTTGTGATTTAAGGACAACCTGTTGTGGCTATCTACTGACTTAGGTAGCACAGGGCATAGAATATCACAGGTGATTCTGACAGTCCCTGTGGTAGTTCTGAACTGCTTGGGTTTGTGCTTAAACTAGTATGTTATTTAAGAGGAGGACAGGAAACAAAACAGGGACCTGGCCCACAGAAAGGGAGGGAGATCTCTTTTGGTGTGGAAGCAAGTACTAGGTCAGTTTGGCAAATGACTTCACATGCTTTTTGGCATATTGAGTGCCTGTTTGAAGAGTTCCCTTCCAGAATAAGCCATACATTTATAAAGCAAATATTTTCTATAGCCACACTGACCATCACATGGCTTTATGGCTTCATCACTTCAATGTCTATTACAAACACCATTTGAAGAAGAAACAGAACTTCACAGTCCTCCTGGCTCTGAATGAATTTTGAGGCAGGAATATTAGAGTTAGCTTAAAAAGCCACATCCAAAATAGCAACACAGAGGAAAACATGGAGCATTTTCTTGTCTCAGAAGTGCATCTAGAAGTGCATCTTTGCTCTCTACTTAGGAAATTGTTCCTAACACGTACTATTTCTTCACATTCCCAGAAGTCTGAATCTTGGGCAGGCCCCGTGATAGTCTAGCCATGATGAATTAACTAATATCCTTTTGCCCATTTGTGAAGAGCTCAATATGGCAGGCACACAATGTTCTTTTTCAGAAAGTGCCCAGCATGTCAAACTCTGCATAAGCTACTGTGGAAGATTCTCATAAACATAAATGGAGAAGGAAGAATTTGGGTGTGTGTGCATGTGTTCAGGAAATTTACTTCATGATGCTTTGGGAGCCAGAGGAAGGAAAACAAGAGCAAGGATAATGCCCAACATAATAGTTGGTACATTAATGTGGGCAAAGTAGAGGGAAGGGGAGTGGAATCCTATGCTCTCATCCTCAGCTGAAGAAAATGCTGGTGCTTTTTACCCTAGGAATATTTTATGTAAAATGCATCAGAATTTCTTGGAGCAGTGACTAAAACTGCACAAGTAGTGCCCTGCTTAACGCCCTCCTCTGACCAGTGAATAGGACGGGAATGAGGAGTGGGCACTGTGGTTGGGGTGTGCTCCTCAGGAATGGGAGGGGCTAGGTTCAAATCCCCTTCAGTTGCAGAGAAAGGCCAATTGGTCTCCCCTGTCCTGCAGTTCAAAATGGGTGTGGAGCAGTGGGTGGGATGAGGTTTGGCACCACTGCAAATGCTACATCCCTGTCAGGAGCACTCAAGGGCATTTGTTCTGCCTTTGGAGGAAATGCTGGCATAGTCTGTTTGGTGTTGGACTGTGGAATAACGGCCTAATGGGACACTGATGCTTGGCTGCTGCAAAATTTTTTCATGTCTCATCTTTCCTTCAGCATTTTCCTCTTCATTCAGTTTCTCTGCTCAGCTGGCTGGTTGTTCAGGTGCTGCTCCAAAGTGCCTTATGTCTTGTGTACCTTCCACAGGGAGCTGCACTGCTTAATTCAGGGTTTCTGGATTTGAACCTCAGAGGTGGATGCTTTAATGCTTGGTGTTGTGGCATCTGAGATGTTTCTGAATTCAGCCCTGATTAATTAGTTGAGTGCCACCACACCCCTCACACCCCACCCAAAGTCCAATCCCGTCTCACCATTACTGGCCTTTACAACTAGGTCAAATCTTCTATCAGGAAGTGAGGGAAAGAACCTGTAAAGAAAAAGAACCTACGATGCTACTAAGAAAGGACAGCAAAAGAACCCTCTTTTTTTTTTTTTTTTTTTTTTTTTCCTTGCTGTATTGTTCCCCACTTAGCTTTCTTTTGCTTTTAGCCACAAGGAAAGAATAATAAGCAGGCTGCTGTGAGTCCTCCTTCAAATGCAGTCTTAATTCAAAGGACTTGTTCTCAGGTTATTTGTAATGCTGCTTCCAGAATGAACACGAGACATCCCAGGCTGCAAACGCACAGATGAGGAACACATTAAGAGCAGTGAAATCAATGGCCCTCTGTGTGTTGCTGCCCCATATATATCCACCACATTTGGGGGATGGTGCAGGCTGCAGTCCTCTGCAACCCTGGAAAGATTCCTGTGCTTTGCCACGGCTCTGTTCTCTCTCTGAATACCTGGTCTGATCAAACCCAAAGCACTAGAACTGGCCAGGATCTGTGGTGCACTGCCACAGAAGATGCTGCGTCGCCTGCAAGAGAGGCTTTGCCTGATGAGACTCAGCCAGCCACCTCTTGCTGATAGGCAGGAAAACAGAAAGATGATGTTGTCAATTAGCAGATAGCACCTGCCATGAAGCTGTGGAGGGAGGAGAATCTGTGGGAGTTGAAGGAAGCTCAGCCTTCAGTGAAAACAAACTAAAACCAGAGGTAGTTTATCCTGATCACTTAAAAGTGGATGTGTCATTACTGGCCAGAAAAGCAAGTCTGTTTTACTATGTCCTCTTAAAAGCAATGTTAGTGCTAGTTGGGAGGCATTGGTCTCAACTTCAGCTGAAGCTGTCACATTGACTTGTGTAGCTAATGGCTGAGTTTCTGTAGCAGGGCTGTTCTCCCAAAACTGTGCTTTTTATCCTGAAGGATGCCTCTGTTTTGACTGTCCTAGGAGTGACGTAGCTGTCTTCTGACAGAGGAGCAACCAGTATTTTATTTTGTAGTTCTGCCTCCAGCTTTAGGCAAGGTCTCAGAAGTGACTTGGGCAATGGCTGGGAGTTAGCAGTAGGTGAACACAAACGTACTCTGGAGGTTGTGACTTTTGGTGCCAGCTAGAATTGAATGCCTGGTAGATCCGGTCTGTTGCAAAGCAGGGAGGACTGTATGTGCTGCCTTCCAGTGTGAGCAGTATTTGATACTGATGTTTACTGATGTAAAAGGAGGCTTTTTCTGTAAATCAGAGGGATTTCTTTACCATTGTGATCAGATGATAAAACTGTGTCTTCATATTGTTCCTAACAGACCTTTTCCCTGTGTTTGTCAACTGAAGCAGCACAGGTTGCACTTCAGACGTTATTTTTTTTCATATGGCAATTTGACAGCTCACCTGATACTCCAGAATTGCAGTCCCTAATAGCCTATTATAAGTAGACTCCTGTTTCTAAGGACAGATTTCAATATCTGGTAACATCACCTTCATTAGCATAGGTGCAGATAGCCCAAAAGATGCATAAATATTCTGGGATTGCACAGAGCAGAGGAAGTAGTAGGTCCTTTTACCTGATACTCTCTGCTTTGTTTCCAGAGTGTCATTTGTCTTTGGAAAATCTCTGCCAATTGTACTCTCCAGCATAATACTTAATGGCTTGTAAGAAACTGACTAGGTAGAAAAAGCCCTGTGAGAAGTGCCCCATGGTGGCCAAGCTGGAGTGAAAGCACTAGAATGCCTCAGGCCCTAACTCTGATCCAAGGAATGAATGGCCAATGTATATATAGCTCTGCTGGTTCAGCTCACACACTTTCAGCCCTAAATAAACGATGTCTCCTCTTTATACTGAGAATGCTGAGCCATCCCCTCTTGCTTTGCTGTGCAGCAGTTTGGCTATTTATCCTCACAATCATTGCATTGTGCTAGTATCTAACGACCCGTCTGGGACCAGGAGCCCTTTGTGATACTGCTTGAACCAACGCAAGGCAGTCCCTGCTCTGAGCGGGGGATAAAGCAGTTAGAGGGACAAAACCCTGTTTTGAAAAGTGGCTTTAGTTTCACAGGGCATGTGGCAAGAGATTTATGTACATAGCTCACAACTGCTATTTAAAACTTGGGGCTGGTATTTTGGTGTTAAAGCAGTGAGCGAGTCTGTCAAATGCCAGTATTTGTACTTGACAGCAGCTTCTTCTCTTCCCCTCCTGGCTTCCCCACTCTCATTTGATTCCAAAGAGTTAGGTTGCCTTTCATGCTTTGGTAATTTCTGTCGAAGAGAACAACCTTTGTGCCCTGGAAGTATTTTATTATAGAGCTGTCAGCAGCGGTTAAAAGGGGATTGTTGGTTCTGTATGCAGAAGATGAGAGGACTTCTCTTGGCTTTTAAAGGAAGAAGTAGCTCTTCCATGTCTAGTGCTAAAAGGATAATGACATCTGGGCTTATGGCATGGGGCCAGCAGTTAAGCACCAGCTGTAGGCAAGAGCAGTATTTGCTCTGAAGCAGGGGTGCGCAGCCAGGAGGCGGCTTTGCTCTGCGGGAGCTGCTGCAGCTCTGCTGTGCAGCCTGGGCACGGTGCCAGCCGTGTGTGAGCCCTCGGGGAGCCGGCAGCGCCCCCGGGCACAGCGCGGGGCGCAGCAGGGGGTGATCTGGGCAAGCGAGGCTGCCAGGAGTGGAAGGTGAGGAGGGCACGAGCCAGCGGTTACAGCAAGTTTGACAGCAGCCAGGGATGCAAACTCTGTGCATAGGATCCTGAGTGTTCATGGAACTACCACACAATCTGGCCTTTCAGCCTGAGCCCCGTGCCTGAAACTGGTGTTTTGTTGTTACTTGATTGTTTCTTCTCCTTTAAGTATGTAAGATAGGCCCTAAATGGCAATTTCTACCATTAAGCTTTAAATATATAAAATTCAGTTCAATGGATAACCTATATAACTCGGGGGTACTGCAGACTGTACAGAGGAAGTTTTTATAACCCTACCTGCTGTGCTGCTTATAGCACTTGCTGAGTGGTGCAAACCCCAGGTAACACATAAGAAATCCTGACGTGTCAGAGAAAAGGTGGAAATCCTCTGCTCTGAGCTAAGGTTTTTGCTGAGGGATGTGGTACTACGCATGGGAGTGGTGGTTTTCTTTGAGCTAAAATATGTTCCAAGAAAGAGATTGCATTATTTTCTCTGTCACTTTGTTAGCTCAGTGCTCCCTCAGCCTCCACCACTCTAGCAGGCAGAGCAGGTCCCCAGCAAACTCCAACTGTTGGCTGGTGGGTGATGATGAGCAGAAAGATGTCGGGAGCTATGTTATCCTTCTGGAGTTTGCTGTGGAGTGGTACAGGAAGGCCTCAGCTGGTATCTTCTCTCTCCTGCTCTTCTCTGAGTGGGCTTAACCTCTCAGAGCTGGTAAAGTTAGGCACAATTCCTTCTTGATCTCCCTTTCTTGTAGGAAAAAGCCCAAAGTTTCCCTTGCTATATTTGTATTTAAAAGAACAGCAGAATAAGCCCTTAAACGTGATGGTATCTCTAGGTATGCGCTAAGGCTCCAGGAGGATTTTGGGGGCTGGCAGTGCAGGGAGAAACCACTGAAGCACGCCAGCACTCATCTCCACTTTGCTTCCCCAAGTCTGGCAAACATGAGCAGTCCCTTCTTGCACCTCGCCTTCCCCATCACACTGAGGGCTGCAGGGTGACATGAGGACAGGGCAGTGGCAGCTTCTGCCAGGGAGCAAAGGAAAATAAAATAAAAAAAAAAAAAAAATCTGAACTGCTGAACTAGGTATTTTTTGGTGTCCAGACAGTGACATTCCTTGAACTGGAGGAAATCCCTGATGTGCTGTGTGGTTGTAATAACAGCAGCTGCTCTCATTTACGTTCTATGTCCATCTCCAGATGCTCTTTCTGTCCCTTCTGGTTAAAGTCTTCATGATTTCATGCTTACTATTATGTCACGATCCCAGACTGCAGGCTGCGTGTTGGAGCTTCCTCTTGTCTTCCCTAGCTCATAGCCATTTATATGTCAGAGATATTTTTTTCTTTCCTAATTGTGAGAGTGATGCCCTTTGCCTGTTCCAGTGTGTTTCTATCTGCAGACTAACAGTGGAGGGTAAGTGGCAGTGAGCTCCCCAGGAGCCACCTCCTCCCTTTCTGGGCTGTGTTCAGCCATCACTGTGTCACGTCCTGTGTGACTCCTCTCTGGTACCCAGGTACCACTGGCACTTCTGAAAGCTGCCAGTTTACTGCCATGCCATGAAACATGAGTCTGTAGTGGATTTGTTTGTTTTCAAGTGATGGTGTTTTGCAAGAACAAAATACGCAGTTCCTTTCATCCAAGCAAATCAAACGGGTGACAGTAGCTGAGGTGGGAAGGCACCTCTGGGAACAGCTAGTCCGTGCCCCCAGCTCAGAGCAGGGTGAACTACAACAGGTTGCTCTGGGCTGTGTCCCACTGGATTTTGAGTACCTCCAAAGATGGAGGCTCTGCAGCCTCCCCAGGCACCCTGTGGCCAGTGTTCAACCACCTCGACAGTAACAAACCTTTCTTTTTTCTTCCTTCTTTTCTTATGCGTAGAGGGAACCTCCAGTGTTTCAGCTTGTGCCTGTCCCCTTCTGGTTTATTTTTCTAGTTGCCTTACTTGCAGCTGTAATATTTGTTCAGTAATTTGTGCTTCACTTCAGAAGAAGTTGCTTAAAGGACAGGTAGCCATTTTAGAAGTGATGGGTTTGCATGGTTGATGTGGTGGCACTGGTTACCAGCTGCCAGCCTTCTCCCATTCCTGTGCTGAAAAGCAGCAAATGCCAGGACACCGGGTGTTCTAGCAGCCCTGCTGCTGGCAGCTGATGCCTGATAGTGGCATGAACCCTCTGGTTTCTCTTGGTGATCTTGGGCTCTACCAACCATTAAGTCCTTTAACTGATGAGGAATTGTTCAGGGTCATCTTAGAGAGCTTGAAGACCAATGGAAATGAGACATTTAGAGCCCCTCCCAGGACTAGGCCTTTCCACCATCAGTCAGCAACAATCGGGGATTTGGAGCCTTAGGAGAGGTTTGTGGCTTTCTTGGGGAAAAAGTGTTCTGAGCAGAGGAAAGATGTTTGTGTCTCCCAAGTAGGTTTAGGCTTGAAAGAATCATGGCAGTCCTGGATATGTACAGTAGCTGAGCAGAATTTTTTGGGCAGCTGAGCTTCTTCTTCAAAAGAAAAAACCCAAAAAATAATAAAAAACAAATAAACAAAAACTGCGAGGCAAGGGGGTTTAGGCTACATTGCATTTAACTTAAAACAGTCACTTCAGGCACTATGAATACATTGTATAAAAACCCCATAAATCCCTGTACTTTGTGAATTATTACCACGAAATCAATTTGAAGAGTCTTTTAAATTAACCTGACCTTTTGTAATGGACTGTTTCATGACCTGCAGTTAAAGGCTACAGCTTTTTTTTTTTTTAATCAAGCTCTGAAGTGCCTGTGCAGTTGTTTGTGCTCTTCCAGGCACGGTTGCTGTTGAAGGCAGGCAGAATTCCCTTCCTCTGTCCCACCTCTCACGTGGGTGGGTAGGTTTTGCCCGAGCAGTGGCCCCAGCACACCCCCATTTCACAGCCAGCTCTGCTCTGCCTGAGGTTTCCCAGGGCTGGGCACGTCCTGCCTGTGCCCCTTCCCCGCCAGTGGGAGAGGATGTGTCCAGCCCATGGCCAGCGACCTGGGACCTTCTGAATGAAATACTGTGGGCAGATGCCTTGATACAGGGCACAGGGACCCACCTTTCACCAAAAGAGAGGTAGGGAGGGGTAGTTACTGTGAATGGTGCGCTGCTGGAAGGCTGAGAATTCTGTCAGTCCCTTTCAAAATGCTACTTCTGTACAAACCTTCAGTTCCTGTCTGCAAACTGCTTCTATTTTTAATTTCCATTACAGCTTCTGTTGGTGTCAGATGGATGATAGGCATGACAGAAATTGACAAGGGCTCCACCTATGGCAACAATGACAACAAACAGAAACAAAAGTAGTGTCTATAGAGACTGCTTCAATCCAAAGGCAACAAATGCAACTTCTGAAAACTCTTAAGTGCATATCATGGTCCTTCAGGTGAGATCAGAGGACGGGTAGGAAGCGCAATGGCCACGCATCTCTGAATCTGTGCCCTGCTGTTCTTCTCTGGGGATTTGGGCTGGATGACATGCTTGAAAGATGTGCTCCTTCATATACTCTCCACAACAGGTTTGCATTTGGTTGGTTGGTTTGTTTTCCTATGAAGTGTCTTAAGTTTTGAAGGGGGAAAAAAAAAAAGTAATTACAGTGTGCTTGTATGATGAGACTTTACCTGGAAACTAATCAAGAGGTGCAGGCTTTAATCTTTCTTAACTTGCTCTAAAGGATGGATAAATGCCATAAGACTGTTACGAGATGATTAAAATGGATAGTTGCGTAGATCACACATTAACAGTTTAACCACCATGCTCTGTCAATGTTTAAACACAGTAAAGATGCTCGGCTTGGTTATACCAGTGCTGGACTGAAGCAGCTCTGCTGAACCAGCAGCGTTGCAGTCGAGTTTTTCTACGTCTAGAACTCCCTCTCTGTGTGCACCACATGGGCCTGCTTTGTTAGATCAAAGCCTGGAGCAGAATTTGGCCTTGTGGCCTGAGCAGAGCTACATGACCCACTGCCACATCCTTCCCCACGCAATACATCAGAGGGATAGCCAAAAGATGCAATTCTTTTGAGAGTAAATGCCATTTTTAGTTTGGAAAAATTGAGTTAATAAAAGTCCTTAGAGCTTTAAACGCTGATTAAAGTTCTAGGCCTTCCTAACAATGGTAGAAACAAAAGAACTGGGTATGCTGTAACTAAGTAACACCAAGTGGGCATTAGAAGTTATGCTCCACACCCATACTGCTGTGACCCAAATTAATCTGCTTCTCTGTATGTTCTGATTAATTAGTTTACACAGTGCCATTAGTTTACACGGTTTAACAGTCAGCCTGAGGTAATAGTTAAATTATCTTTTGCTTTTCTTTTGGGGAGGAGAGGGGAAGTATGAGAGAGACCAAGGGCAGTGGTATGGATTAGGTCTTTTTATGGGTGTCTGGAAATGCTTTGACACTTTTCTGAATTAAATAAAATGAGAATCAAGCTCCTTGGAAAAACTGTGTTGCTCGTACATACCTGGTACTGATTCCAGGGCAGCCTCCTGTTGTTCTTAACCTTCATGAATTAAGGGTATGCAAGTCACTAAGAACTTGTTTAAAAGGAGGACTTTCCTACCTACCACCAGTTATGATTGGAAAAAAACCCAGTCTTTTAAAGTCTGAAGATAGTGACACTGAGCAGTGGGGACTGGCACTTTCAGTGATGGTGCCTTTTCACTGCACACAGGACTAAACCTTGAGTCAAGGAATGAGCAGCCTGTGTGTGTCATCTAATGAAGAAAGTGAGCAGCCTTAGTTCTAGCAGCTGGTATACAAAAAAAAAAAACACCCTGAAACAAACCACATTTCTCTTTTCCTGTAATAAAACTGAGGCCAGAAGAACCAGGGCTAATACAATAGGATGTGAATCATTTAATGAAATACGTATTTGCTGCTCAGCACACCGGATCAGCCAGGAACTAGTCTTTTAATATGCAGCAGCTAAAAAGCAGGTGGAGTAGTGCTTTTAGCCTGGGGCACTAAGTTTTTGAGAGTGTACAATGTGAAGGAAGTGTGAGGAACTAGTTTTGGGGGCTTTTTTTCCCCCCCCCACCAGTCTTGTGTACTCTTATATTCCCTATGCTCTGAAGCTTTCTGGAATAGGTTGTATGAGGTCATGAACGTAAACATGGACTTTAGTGTAGTTTTTCAACACATGCAATAGAGCCTGAGATGGGGAAATACTCCCACACTCATAAAGCTATTCTTTTAATGAAGCACATGTCCTGCACTCTATTTGCAAAACCAATCCTAACAGTGGCAAACTGGGTATAAGAACCTGTAGCAGTGTCTGAAGCTCTAGCTGTCCCATAGTAATGCATCAGGCAATGTTAGTGGGCCAGGCCTGTAGACCCTGTACACAGGACTCTGAAAATGGGGGAGATCTTGCCAAGCTAGTGTTGTGTTGTGCTGTAGACCTTACCTGGCAGACACAGCAGACTTTGCTGCAGGTGGCAGAATGAGCCTTGTGTGCAGGGGCGAGCAGTCCTGAGCAGCAAATACACATTTGTGTAATGACAGTCTCCCTTTTTCTGCCTTTCAGAGAGCCACTGTTTTAACATGCTGGTAGGGAGACATTTAACATTCCTTATCAATCTTAGGCTTTTCCTCTCCAACTGCATGCAGTGCCACTTCTCCCAAAGAAATACTTCAAACATGTAAATACATCTGAAAGAGTAATTTAGACTATTTATTTCATACCCATTTCCTTGGGACAAACACGTCGCTCCTGGATCTGTCCTGAGCACTTCCAGAAGTCCCAGCGCACAAGGACGGCCCCACGGGGGCCTCCCACCCTTCACTGGCAAACAGAGAAAGCTTAAACCCGAAGTTACATGAGTCCAGCTCGCTGGATTAAAAGAATGACACGTGACAATAAGGAAACAGTATTTGCCCCTCGTCTCCACAAGCAACTCGATGTTCTACAACTGCCTTAACAAAGTAGTCTTAATATTTGTTTATACAAAAATAAAAGTATAAAAAGCTGATGCGCAGTGAATGTGTTCTCTTTTGGTCAGCAGCAACTAACTCGTAACAGTTTAGGTCTCACCTTCATCCTGACCCCTCAAAGCTGTCCCCAGTTCCCCTGTGTGTACACAAGGACACCCGGAAACGAGGCCAAGGAGGGACACAAACCACTTGGCTGCTTCTGACACACTGCAGAGTGAAGCACAGAGCAGGCCCAGGGGGCTCTCACCACAGGTACCTTCACAGCCCCTCACTGAGGATGACCACGCACCTCCACTCCTGTCATCACTGGAAAGGGAGAACTGAAGAGAAGGGGAAAGTCCTTGTTTACATGCAGCTTTGCAGGTTTTTGGAGCACACAGCTACACCCCACTGGTGACCTGCACAGTGAGGGTCATGCTTTTCTAGATTTCATTGTCAGATTTTGTGATGCCTTCTCAACAGCTCACCCAGCTGCTAAAAGCTGCCTCACAGCTGCAACAAACCAAGGACTTGTGGATTGAGAAGAGAGGCAGGACTATAGAATAAAGTCAAATATGAAGAGCAAGGTCCTCACTTTTTAAGTTGCCCACACTAAGATCTAAAGCTGTAGCAGGAATATGTCAACTTGCACTAATGCTTAGAAATAACAGTTCAAAGTCATCTGTTTGTAGTAGCAAGTCAACCAAAATAATCTAACTACATCAAGTGTTGCAGACTGTTTCTTCTAATTGCTAGCCACTTCTAACCTTGCTCCATTTTCTGAGACCGATGACAGGTGGGAGGTAGTGGGGAAATCAAAGTCTAGGCTCAGAAACCAGTTTTAAAAAGCTAACTGAGTTCTTGTTTTTTGCCAAACCAAATACAAGAATAATCTTAACTGATTGTCATCTTGGCCACAGAAATGCCATGCAGACCACTCCCTGTCTGCAGTACTTGCATTCAAGAAGAACGTTATTTCAGCCCATGCCTCCATCCCTTACCTGATGGGTAGTGTCAGGTTATTTCCTCAAGAGCTAGCTGAAGGGAGGGCCCTCTGTTCTACTGTCACTTGTGTAAGACGCGTCTTACACCGCACATCTTGAATTTGACAAAACACTGACTACAGCAATACAAGAGAAGCTTATTTCAGTTAACTCAGCAGTCTTCAACAAATGTTGAAAAAGAGGTTTAAAATGTGACACAAGCCCACAGACTTACTTATTTTCAGAAGAAAAACCCTTCACCCCCAACTCCTAAAATAAACCATTTATTGAGAAAAAACTTCTTTAAAATTTCATTAATCAGCATTGTGCATAACAAATCTGAAGCTCGCCAAAAACAAATAATAAACAAAAAAAAACAGTAAAAGTTCACAGTCAGTGCACTCAACAAACAGATTAAAAAACAAGGTCCATAACGCCTGATAACACTACAGCATTTTTCTGAACCTAGAGAGTTCAAAAATACTACATATTAACATTACAGTTCTCAATCAACTGAGAAACGGGAGAAAGAACAAAAAAAAGGTATGGTCCATGTACAGTAGTAATGGCACTTTCACTGAAACATGCAGCTTCTTCCAACTCGGGGACACCGTCACATGAGCAACATGTGCCAAGTCAAACATACAGGAGCAGCAGAGGAAGTGACGCCCGTCACTTGTGCAGTCTTCGTAAGGTCAACTTTTATACTGTTTTTCAGCACAGTCTTTATGTAAATATTACATACAGTAGTGACTAAAAGGTATCTTGCCAGGATAAAAAAGGCCAGAGATTGAATAACTTCATTCTTCATCTGTGCAAACCTGTGAAGGGCACAAAAGGCGATTAATGCAATTGTCTCTCTGCTGTAGCAAGATGACAACAGGTCAATTTCTTCAGCACCTTCACTGAATATCTCTGAGGCTCTCTTCTTCTCTGTTTGTTAGGCAGATCATGAATTGCAAGTGTTTGTATGTGAATACTGATGTTTCCACTGCCACCATGCAACTGTTAATGCCTCAAGAGAAGCCTACCCTGGTGATGGGTAGTTCTGGCTACAGAGGGATGGGTATGACGATACCAAACACACTTATTGAAGCAGAATGCCAAAGTGAACAATTTTATGCTGGAAAATGGGACAAAATTTGGTAATGTGCTGCACTCCTTTAAAAAAGAAGTTAGGAATATCCCTAAATTTGTAGCTGTGAATATTTGCACATGTGTACTTGCTAAAATTTCAGACGCTGAGCCCTTCATATCCAATTAACTGCCAATGACCTGAAGCTTGACAAGACTTTTCAATATAAAAATAAACTTGCACTGCTGTTTCCAGATGCGTTATTGCATGGTGGACACACCAGGTTCCTCTAGTCAAGCAGTTGCTACCAACAGCCCATGTGCTTCTGAAAAGTTGCCAAACCTCGTTTTCTGGGCAGCATCAACTTGATACCGGCCTCCCACCATGACACACAGCCCTGTGGCGTAGCTGCACACAACAAAGCCAACTAAAAGCTGCTTCAGACTCCAGTCTACAGTCTTTCTTTGTAGCCAAAGCCATGAGACAAACCTTGACAAAAGGATGATCGAGGAGCTGGCTGGCCGTCCATCTCATCTTTGGGTCACTTTCCAGACAGTGGCAAAGGAAGTCTTTCCCTTCCGGGCTCACTTTGTCAGGAATAGGAGGTTTATGACCCATCCCCACTTTATACATGATCTGGAAGTTGTGCTCGTATTCGTGCCAAGGCCTCTGCAACAGGTAACAGTACTGCTAAGTGCAAGGTTTGGCAAGTAACCTACTATGCAAGAGAGCACCTAGTTCTGTGCTCCAGGGTATTAAAAACTGCCCCACTGCTTGCAGGCTTAATTGCTGGGAGCGGGACCAGAATTTGCAGAGAAACTGCAGAGGGCAGCTGGCACCCCCTCAGGACATGCAGCATCCCCACCTTGCCAGTGACCATCTCTATGACGACACAGCCCAGGCTCCAGATGTCTGCCGCACGCCCGTGCCCTTCTCCTTTGGCTCTAGTGATTACTTCAGGAGCCATGTACGCTGTGAAACAACACGTGGGGAGTCATCAGTGGATACAGCAGAAGGAACAGTACACGTTAAGTGATTCGCTGGGCAAACCAAATGTGTTTAACACATCTGTAATGAATTACCAGTCAGCTTTTCTTGCTGAGTTGTGCCGTTTGCTGGCTTCTTGCTCTCTGCTGCATTCACAGCATAGCTGTCTTTCAGTTTGAACAGTGGCAATGAACGCACATACAGTACGTGCTAACAGTTATTTTCATCTTTAAAAAACAGATTAAGGAGCTCTTCAGTCAGAACAGCACTGTTCCAGTAAGGCTGGAGGAAAGAGATACAACCCCAGAAAACACAAGCTCCGGCATCTTTATAGTTACCAGGCAAATAAAACTTTACCCCTCCAGCAACATCATTCACTGACTGCTTTGGCTTCCGGATGTAAAGCACATCTAATCAGATAAAGGTAAAATCTAAGTTTCCCATCATTTCACTCCAGCCCAGACTTTTGGCAGAGGTATCTTCTTCTGTGGTAACTAGACAAGCATCTGCCTAGCACACGCTTCCTTACCCGCAGTCCCCAAAGTACTGTTCACTTCTCCAGGCATTGTCTGGGTGTTGTTCTTCAGTTTCACTGAGCAGCCAAAGTCTCCTAGTTTAATCAGTCCAGATGAGGTAAGAAAGATGTTGGCTCCTAGGAAACACCACAAAAAAACAATAGCACTTGTTAAACTAGTGCTGAATTGAGGAATGAGGGCTTTTCAATATACTCCTGGAAGCTGCACAGTAGATAACTGCTGAATCCACACTTAGATCTTCACCTGTGGATGGAGTGTGGAATATGACAGCATTAGAGGTGTTCTCAGAGGGCACGTTACCGGTAGCCAGTGGGATTTTTGGTGGGGTTTTGTTAACACTAAACATGCTGGAAGTTGATGTGCTCTACTGACAAGAAGAAATGTTCAAAACACAAAATGGTACAGCAGGCAAACTCAGCAGCTTCCCATAAGTGCTCACTAGGAGAAATTACTCCCAGGAATTTAGGAATGCCAGTGCTTATCCTCCTGAGTGTTGCACTACAAAGAAACACCCACCCTTAAGGAGCTTCCTGGCAGAGGCCATTGCTGCAGACCTTCCACTAGACATCTTTCCAGCTTTTCTGAGTCGAGACAGAGGACATCATACAGCTGTGTCATCACAGCAGACTTGCAAAATGGAGCTTACAGCAGTTTATTACAGGTACTACCAAATGCCCACTCCTGTTGTGCTCTAACTAACTCCAGAAGAATTTCTGGCCACACTGCCAGCCACAATAGAAAAAATCTCCCTAGCACAGCTGAAAATCTGCAGGGGGAATCTGCAGTTGGCTTCAAGTTGCTTGCTCTAAACAACACTGCAAAATAGCCATGCAGTTCTGATAACCTGGGGTTTTCTTTTATTCAGTATCCTGCCAAAACACATGCTGACAGCCAAGAGAGAACAGGCAGAGCAGAAGGAGCTCACTATACATGTCAGGCTAAATCCTGGATTCTGCAAGTGTCACAGTGAAACCACACATAGGTTGGCAGGAGTCACCTGGCAGAAACACAGCTTTAGCTGTGGTGTCTCTTGAGGAAAGATGAATGGTTGGCACAGAACAAAACTGCTCACTTGCTCAAGGAGTAGCCAGACATTGAGGTTTGTTACACACAGTCTTTTCCCATGTCACACAAGATTCTTTCAAAAATAGCTCATCTGAATACAACCTTTAAAAGTTTCTCACATTTTTCCACCCTGAGCATAGGTCAGTGCAGGAATTCTTCGCTGCTCCTCCTCTATGTTATGTTCTCTTAGTTAATGACTTTTTCTAGTTAGCTTGGCTAGGCATCCCTGAGATACTAATGGAAGATGATAAGAATCCTCAAAAAGCCCAAGTCAAAAAAAGGCAGTGCAGGTCAATGATGCCAAAACCCTGCCTGTCTCTCAAAGGGCTTCTCTCACTACTAAAAGAATGCTTGAAAACTGAAGCAAGACTTACTGAGTCCAAGAGAACATGTATTGCAGAGAACTGCACTATAAAAGGGGGAGAGAAATTATTAACAGAAATAAATTTCAACCTTTTATTACTTTACAAGCCTTTTACAAGTTCTGAAAGAATTAACTTTCAGTGAATAAACAACAACACTACACATTGTGTCTGTGAGTTTTGCATTCAGATGCCTGCAGATACTCAAGACCAGAGTTCTTTGGCTGGGTTCTGCAGTTTGCTACCAGAGGGACGGACATACGTGCCAAGAGTCACCCTGCAATCACAGGCACGTGTGACAGAGCTGGGCAGACCATCCCTCAGCTCTTAATTAAAAAAGAATCCAGAAACACACACAAGCAGCAAAAGAAGGCAGCTCGATGGGACACTAAATACAGGCAATGCATTAGAAAAGTGAGTTTTTCAGCAACTTTTTCCGTGGAACTTTTCTTATGCTGATGATTTTCAAGCAATTACTTGTCATAAAGAAAGTAAGTAAGTGCACTTAGCCCACACAAAGAGATTAGGAAAAATGTAAACACTTCTGAGGAAGGGGAATGTAGGTTTCCAAAACATCCTTGTAAGAAAGCAACTCACAAGTCTCATGGAAAGCTACAAAGTGATTTCTGACTACTGCAGTGGGTAGAAACTGGCGGAGCTGAAGTGAAAGCAACCATCTCTCTTCTGACTGAATCTGAAGCTATTGTGATGGTTTGGTTTAACACAGTTAAGAAGCTATTTACAAGGCCTTTAAAGTTTGTCCCTTTAAAAATACGTAATGACAATTTAGCATAAATGTTACTGTGAAAGCTCCTGTAAAGCGTCCTGAAAGCACCTGGAGCTGTCAAATGGAACAAAGCACTGAACCAACGTTTCACTGTGAAGAAAGAGACAGCACTTGAAGACGTGTTGCTGACATTTTCCATCCCCTGAATAACGCTTCCACTGATGTGTTGTCTGCTGGAGCCTCTGTTTTGTAAGCTGTGTGGTCTCTGCTTCAGAGGCCAGGCCCAGCCTCTAGAAGGAGTCCATTAGAAGTGTCTTAGACACTTTTAGATGAAACCTGCACAGGGAATCCAGCAGGACCTGGGTAAGGGGAGTCACAAGGGCAGTACTTTGAGGGTGCTCGATGCTTTTTACCTTTGACAGTGGTAATGTAATAAAACTTCTGCCACATCTGCATGGTTAATAAGCAAAATAAAACCGGAGACCATGGCTCTGAACAGCAAAAAGGCACAACACACAATCTGTTTCTTCTCTCCTCCTACACATACACTATCAAAAGCATCTTCATTGGATGTACTTGTATCACAGAGGCACCCAAAAAACAGATGGCAGCAGCTACCCAAAGCGTGGATTTAGTGTAACCAAAATTACTCGGCACTACTTCCAACCAAATTAAATTAGAAGTTCAGTTCTCAGTTGGGAATTTACTACTACACAACTAATTCCTGAGCTTTAAGGACTATCTTTCTAGAAAGACAAACCAAAATGTGCACACACACTTACTCATAACAGGAAAATCTCCCTTACAAGGGTACCCAGAAAAGTATCATTCACAAAGCGGGGGGAGTGAGGCACACTCAGTGGAATTATCCTCGGATGGCCTACCACAGATCCAAGGGGAGGGTCTGACTGCAGAGCAAGCTTGCTCTGAGGAGAACTGACTCAAAATGTGCTCTCTGGTGGGGCTCCATTTGCACCCCAGCTGAGTGTGCGCTGGGGGCAGGCAGGGGCAGGGCCTGGACCCCGAGGCACCGGTCGGTCGCTGTAAGGGCCGTTCAACGGCCGTGAGGCCCTGAACCCGTCTGTCCCGGGGCCCTGGCAAGCCCCAGGTTTGTGTCAGCTTTCTGTCAGGGCGCCTGTGCCTGCCACAACTGGGCAGAGGCAGGAGGCAGCCCAGGTCTGCACAGTCCTACTGCCATTTATACTGCAAGATCCTCTGGGCAGACTGCAAACAAAGAATAAATGTCAAAAGCCATACCCATGCTAGAGAAAACATCAGCCCTGAGCCAAAGCATTTGAACTGAAGTTTCATGCCCCGTATCTCCGTGCCAAGTCTGCGGTCAAACCTGCACTCGCATGACACTCCAAATGTCCTGGTGTAAATACATGAGTCTGAGGAGCAGTACCAAAAGCCTCACTAAAGGCTCTGCCATGATCCCACAAATAGGGTCAGCTGATAGACATTCCTCAGCCAGTACTTAAGCAGTGCAGCAGCCAAATTCATTCAAGAAACAAGCAGGCCAAATGCTACCCTTTAATGAGAAAAATCAGTTTTAGCATCCTCTTTTACTTTAGAAATTGTGACACGTGCCCATAACCTCCCGTTGAACAGCTTTCTGTCTCCTGCCGAATGGCCTTCCTTCCACTGTGCTCATCACAAAGACATGAAGGCAGGAATAGCAGAAATTTTGAAAGAGCTAACAACAAAGTTAACTAGAGTTCACACTTTGATGAAGACTTCCTGGCCTTGGGCATCTCATTCACAGACTTCTGATTTACTGAAGCTTCATTTTCATGATCCCTTCATTTTCTGTCTTAGTTCTGAAAACACAATCTGAGCACCCTTCAGGAGCATGTCCTTCTTTCCCAGAGAGAAAGCACCAAGCACAACCTCAGTGATTAACTCCTGTCAAGTCAGCACTTGCAAGACCATGGTTGGGAGCACTGCATCTTATTTTTGGTCTCCCCAATACAAGACATACTGACATGCTGTAGCAAACTCAACGGAAGGGCATCAAGATGGTCAGAGGGCTGGTACACAGTGTGGAAGGAGAGGCTGAGAGATGTCTGTTTAGCCTGAAGAAGGGAAGACTGGAGGAGTGTTGGGGGAGGGTGGGATTTATTGGCGTTTTCAGCTATGTTATGGGAGGACATCAAGAAGATGGAAACAGACTTTTTCCTCAAAGGCACGCTGTGAAAGGATATGCAGCAATGGACACAAAGAGCAGCCTCTGCAAACTCCAGGCTGGTATCAGGAAAAAGTTTCTCACAATGGAGACAGATCGGTCGTTGGGATGGGGGCCCAGAGAAAAGGGAATCTCCATTCCGGGAGACACTACTAACTGAATAAAGTCAGGAGCAGTCTGATCTAATTTGACATTCAATTTGATACTAGGTTGGCCCCATTTTTAACAGAGGGCTCAACCACAGATGTCCAGAGACTCCCTCTAGCATTGAATATTCCATCATTCTCAATCACTGAGCAGAACAGCTTCCTTCCAAAAAAAGTGAAGTAATTATCACTGAGGAATCTGGGCAGCCATAGGGGTTGAAAGCCAGTACCCACAACAGAGATTAAAAAACCCATCCCAAAAGACTTAATCACTTGCTACTTACTAGACCCACTACTTCACACATTGATACAGACTCATCAAGACCAGGGCACCAAAAAGTAACAAGCCAGCACTACCCTCAGTTTGTTCTCACAACCATGGGTTGAAAAGGAATTCAAGGCAGCTTTGTCTTGCCTCATCTTTCACGCTCACAGAACTGGAGGCCAGGATCACACCTGAAGGACAATGGTGGCACTGGGGGTCACTACTAACCAAAAGTGTTTCCGAGCACAAGGTACTTGCAGATACCAACTGTGGGACATGTATAAGCAATTACTCTAAGAATTAGTTATCTACTGCTGAGTGTGATCTGACAGCGAGACTTCCATAGGAAGGCAGTTTTGTATTATCATCCTTCCCTATCCAGAGAAACAAGAATATCCCACTATCTAAGAGTTAAAAGTAAAACCAGAGTTTTCTTTACTGCTGTTAGCCTGAAATCTTGGGGATGCAACGTTTGCATAAAAGCAGACAGAATGGAAGAGACTTCCAGGGTAACATCAGGTATCCTTCACAAAAATACCGTGTTCTGTCTTCATATTCTGTCTTTTAAGTTTCGTGAAGGTCTACAGATAGATGTGTCTGCAGGGACACTGTTCATGGCTGTCATTATTCTCAAGGAACCCCCAACATGTGGTATGAGGAACCTGTTGCAACAGAAATGCCCTCAGAAAACACAGCAGTACAGTTCTGTTAAACATCTCTTCTCGCTTCATTGCATTTCCCTGAAGAGAGGAAGACCTATTTGGAAACACATCCAGAAATCAGCAATGACATAGAGCAGCACAAAAGAAATCCCTGTCAGCCAGCCTTGGATTTTGATCACAACGAGCTTCCAGGAGAGCATTATTCAGCTAAGCAGAACCTGAATATGGAATGACCAAGTAAAAGGCAAGGAGAGCACTGGGAAAAGCACGGAGGGAAATCCACAAATAGAGAGAAACCTTTGGTCAGGAAGGAGAACCAGAGAAGGCAAGATTGCTGGGAATGGGAGCGAAGGAAAGTGTTTTCTAGGAAAGAAAGCCAAAACTGACTCAAGAGTGGCCTACCTGGGTGGAAGGCCTCTGGATCGTAGATAGTTCTTTTCCCAAATGAGAAGCACGAGGCCAAAGGACCAAGAGCAACTGGGAACCTCTACACTGCTGCGGTGATTCAAAACCCTGTGGCAAGAGGGACATAGAAACCCAGCATCGTTGGGTTGCACTGCCTGGTCATGAAATGAGCATTCACAGGGCACATTGTGTGCATTGTTTCCCCTACTGTCTGCTAAGCTTCTGCCATAGGTGAGCAAAATATGCCAGACTAACAAAACCAAGATAACTGGACATGGAGGATGTTCTGGGAAGGTGCAGAAAAAGAAAAATGAAGGTGAAATGTGGAGACACTGAGTGCCTTAAGCAAATGCCAAAACCAACCCCCCTTCAGTTACTGTAGTTCCAGTCTGTTCATTTTAGAAGCAAAAGCTAGAGAGCCAAGCATGAGTAGATAAATGTATGACAAAAAAACCCAACACTATAGAAGTATTTTTATCATACCCCTTTAACTTCTTTACCAACACTTTTATTACTATGTTTAATCAACCATTCATCCAAAATCCTAAAAATTCTGGAAAACAGGAATCAGAAGGAAAAGTTCTGAGGAACAACTCTAGCACTGTATGCTGCTTCTCAGCTCCCAGAAAACATCACTGTTCCTTGCACAGATGAGAAGAAAAACATTATATAATTTGATGTATTAGTACTTGAAACAAAAAGACCAAAACTTGAGTTTGGATGAATCCCCAGCAATCTTAACAACCTCTACAGAAACGATATAAATCACAGGCAGAATTTACGAGTTTGCAGTGCCAAGTGTGGACATTTTTTATGTTCTGCACTTAAGGAGAAGTACATAACTAGTTAAGAACTTGTAAAACTGAAAATTTAAGAATGAGTGGAAGTCTGTATACACTGAATGGCTACATAGATAACATAAGCTCCATCTGCAAATGCGTCTGACACCACTGCCCCCCACCCTCACCTACAACACTGAAACAACAACATTACCTTTCATGATTAACGTTACCTTTAATGTCTCGATGAACAATACCATGTTCATGTAGTACATTGATAGCAATGGTGATTTGCTTTGAGTAGAGCCTAATGACATGCTCCTGAAGGCCCAGTTTTGACACCTCCTCCAGAGTGCCCTCATCACAGTACTCCATGAAGATGTACATTTCTTCCTGTTGTGGGAACCAAACCGGATTTCATTTGCTTTATTCTTTAGTATTTTGTTTTTTTCAAACACTGAATTAGGATCAAGTTTTCCTTCCATCCTTCATTGTTTGTGAAAAGAGTAATGGAAGTAACTATGTGATGTTTTAATGGAAGGACCTCTTACCATGGAATATCTAATAAATTGTCTTTTCAGAACTCTGTTCTTTCGGGCATGTTTCAGCCTAACACATTCTGTTGCAAGGCTATGGAAAAATCTCTGCTACATGTCTATCTGCAGCATCTGTATGTAACTGATACTATCTGGTAGTACAGAATATGTTCCTTTGGCATCAGCCAAAAGGCACTTTGGAAATCTTGTAAATATATTACACAGAAATACAAGAAGATCCACTGCATATTTAGGGAAAATGTAAAATGGTGTTTAAGGCTTGTGGTGGTTTCTTTTGTTAACACTCTCCCAGTTCCTGCAATATCATGTGCTGATTTCTTGGAGAGGGCAAATTTTTTGTTTCGTCTGTATCTTTGAACAAGCATGCCAACTCTTAACTCACTTTAAGGAAAGGGTAGGTTCTTGCTCCCTTCCTCCAAGTCCAACCAATTTCAGGCAGACTTAATTCATACAAAAAGATGGCAAAGACACTAAGCTCTTAGACCTAGCTGAGAAAACAATGACCCAGTCGCACAGATAGCCAAAGTTGTGTCACCAAGTAAAGAAATGCAGGCAGAAAGCAACCCTGGTCCCCTTCTAAACTGGCAATGGATCAGCAACTCAACCCATTCATATTGAGCAAGTTGGTAAAAACCACACACAGCTTTCCAACCAGACTCCCAGTGTCCTGTTCCCTGCCCACCTCACTGGGTATAGATACGGAAGAACCCGAGACTCACAGGGGGAGGTCAGAAGGGCCTATGGGAAGCAGAGGGTAACAAAAAATTGGGTATCTCAGCACCCAACTCTGAAATCAACTCTGTAAGAAAACCAGGCTTTGTTAGTTCTGCTGCTCAAGCAAGAAAATCTGGTTTTCCTTCTGAAAAGACGGTAGCTGAATTACAAATGATCTGCTTCCCTAAGCTACTTGTTTGGCACCAAGTTTTAAATGCCAATACAACATTTTTCCAGGCATCACAAGGTATTAGTACAACCTTTGCTGCTAACAGTGAAGGGCTTTAGGCTGTCTAATCTTTATCTGCACGCAGAAGTTACCATACCATACATGATACAGCTTGCTTTTGGAGCAGTTAAACAGTGTACCAGCACTGAATAGCTCCAATTACTCTGTTGTGAGCCTTCTCTGTTTATTACCAGTTCCAAAAAATTTCTCCAAACTATGTTTCAGAGATATGAACATTTGGAGAAAAGACACGCTGCAATTGACAGAGATATCCAGCCAGTGAAGCTAAACTAGAATATTCTCAAGTAAAACCTCCAGGATCCAAAGCTTCTTAAAATTTTCTCTCTGTCCTATAAAAAATCCCCAATAACTGATGTTTTCTTACCCTATGGAGCTCCACACCAAAATAGCGAACAAGATTAGGGTGTTTGATGCCTTCAAAAATCTTCAGTTCATCAGCTGTTTCTTTGATGGTTTTGTGATCATTGGGTTGAAACCTTATCTGCAAGAAATTTTTCATTATTTTGCCACTATTTCAAATTATTAAGGAACAAAATAAAGCCAAAACACTCCTCCAAAAACTAAACAACTCACCCCAAATGCAAACAAAGAAAACAGCTAAAAGTATTTAACCAGCACTACTACACAAAAAGCCCCAAAATAGCACCTCTCCAACCCTAAAAGAACACCAAACTATTTTTTTAAAATTACATAGGAATATGATTTAAAAACTTTAATAGCCTTTTCCTCTTATACTTTAAAGAAGTATAAATACACACATGTGCACATATGTATCTCTTCCAAGCTTGCCTTCTAGCTTAAACACAGTAGATGTAAACATAGTACAAGAGAATTCAAAAGTAACATCAGTGAGAGCTATCACTTAAGAAAGACTAGTTGCTAGGTACTTCATCAACAGAGATTCTGAGGGGTTTCTTCATTGAGAATGAGGGAACTGCATGGAAAAGGGTGTGACATGGAACAAATACAGTCATAAAGGTTTTGATGAAAGAAACAGATTTTCGTTAGTTTCCCTACAATACATAGTGATGGATTTTTCATGAAGGAAAAAAAAAATATCAAGTGTTCTGAAAAAAACTGGTTTAAAGCTTCTCTTCACACCAAGGTAAGCAAAATTCATAGCAACTTATGGAAAATGCTACCTTTTACCATACTGGTAGAAAGCAGAAACTTAACTGAATACAGGACAACTGCTAGAGAAATAAATGCACATATTTTACCTTTGGTTGTTAGGATGTTATGATTGTTTTGTTCTGTATAACAATTCCAGGATACAGTTGGTACTCAAGAAGTGGTAAAATTAAATGCATGGTGATTACAAAAAGGTGACAAATTATAGTCAAGTATTTTACATATTTCCTAACACTTTGAAGACACAATACTGTGTGTTTGTAGTAAAGCTTGTCCACTACAATTTCTAGAGATTTTAATGACAGTGTGGTTAAATCTGAAAAAAGTCTGACAATAAAATCTGAAGAAATCTTGGGGATTGGAAGGGAACACACGATTTTTAACCAGTTTAAAAATAAATACCTTTTCTCCCAAGCTACTCTTAAGGAAATCCAGAAAAGCATTTTATATGGAAGTTGCGAACAGTTTGCATTTACACCCACAGTGGGTAGGTGGGGAATTTTCTCAGTGAAACAATCCTGCAAGTTAAAAATACTACAGGAAAAGGCAGCATACTGTATATTTAGCCTTCTAATGAAATCTCTGTCAAACAAGGCCCATTTAACTTATCTAAACTTCCACTAAAGAACACACACATGCTAATCTATAGAAAGTACCTGTATCTAAAAAGCAACTTTGAATTCCAGAAACAGAGTGCTACTGGTGGGGGGGAAAGTGTTTGTGATTTCAGTGAAATCATAGAATCATAGGGGTTGGA